CCTCCACATCAAACCATGACAGCTTAACTTGACTTAGTCTGAGAACATCCTTAAAGAAAGAAAATATTATTTCAATGCACCATCTGGCAGGAGATCACCGCCTTGTCTTTTCCCAGTTGTCAGACTGCAAGTTCTTTGTTCTAAATAGAACGTACTAACCAGTAAGCAGTGCTGCTGCTCAGTAGAATCTGAACATATTCTGTGTTTCTGCCGGGATCAGTGTTTGAATGAAGACAATCTGTTTAATGTTCACTTCCCTATGAGTGGCTGTCACATCAGTGAGACGGATCCAAGCTTTGACTGTGAATTTCTCTGTGCTGTCTTGTATCTCGACAAGATTTTCCTGGGAACTCCTTCCCAAGGGGGACTAAATAGTGTCTCAGTGTCTTTTTCAAAATTTGTTCTTTGGTAGTTGATACTTCGCTTCACAATAACAAAATTACTTTGTCCCTTGACTTTATATGTGCCTTGTCTTTTTACCTGCATGGGACCAAGACTTTCACAAAATCTTTGATTGTTCTCCTTGAGAAATCTTAACTTTAGCAGAGAGAGAGAGATACGTTGCAGTTTTGTTCCTTTGGTGTTGGAGACCAGCAGAGTGGACTGTGCTGCATCGATCAGAGCAGATATTGTTTGCCGTACAAACCAGTTTGTATGACTTTGGGAAGTCTGCTGAAGTACTTCATTGTGTTTGATGTTCTAAAGCAAATGTATAAAAGGACTTTTCCTTTAGATGTTTTTAGTGTGGACATGTATAGCTAATGCATTTTTCAGTTTCTCTTCCTGAAAGTATCTTTTGGGCTATTTTTGAAGTTTCACTCTGAATCAATAAGCACTAAAAGAAAAGGTAGTTACCTAGAGTGGCGTTTCTCAAATTGTTCTGTGCGTTGCCCTTCTTGCCATTTCTTGAAACACTTAGAGGAAATTGAGGTGCCAGAAACTCAATGCTGAGGATTTAAAGGACAGTTTGTAGGGATGGGAGAGCAGCATTCATATATACCTGACAGGTATTCTGAAAGCAAAAAGTCCGCAGGCACAGGTACTTGAAATGCGCAAGCACTTAGGAATCTATAGCTAGATAGTACTTTTCAAAGGTCTGTTATTACTAACTTTTTTTTCAATTGGCTTATACAGTAGTGAATGAAGAACTAGAAGCCTTCTGGGAAGGCCTGTTTTTTTAAAAAAATTGATTTCTTTGTAAAGTGTGCCTTTTCTTTCACAAAGGAAAAATAATATTGCCAGTTTAGTGTCCCATATAAAACAGAAAGGGAAACAGTCACAGAAACAGTACAAATGACTGTGAATATGTATTGTTGCAGTTAAATATGGGTAACTTGTTTTGTTCCTACAGGCAGCTCATATTTTATAAATGTTCTTGAGGGAAAAATAATTTCTAGCCCATCATTTAGATGTATTTTTAAAATTCTCTGATGATTTTGTCCTTTGATTAATAACAATTGAGAAGTATGTAAAAAATCTTAGTACTCGGCTAAATGCGTAACTTAAGTGTGAGCTCTTGGAACAGTGACTTCAGCAGGGCCATTCCAATGATATGTGCTGCAAGTTGAATTGTATATAATTTTGCTGGTTTAGCCAAAATTCTCTAAATATGCTTGTCTTCTAGCAACACATTATTTTATCATTAATTCAGAATTCTTTTTAATGCAGCAACTCCTAAATATTTTAGAGGAACCCATTTTATTAAATACTTGTGTGATAGCACAGTTTGTACTAATATATTCAGCAATTCCTCTGTTTTACCTTAAAGCCAAACTAGCAAATAGCAGCACATTTAAAACACAGTAGGAAGCATCCCTGCTCTCCCAACCCACATCAGAAAGGCAAAAAATTGAATGTATACGCATGACCTTTAAAGAGGAAGGTTATATGAAGGCAAGGAAAAGTTCTCGTCTTCTGGTCTGTAACTGCCGGTTTTGCATAACATCAAACGTGTTTACTGTGTGTACTGAGCATTTAACCAAGACAAGCAATAATGTTTACTATTTTTGTTATTCCAGATACTATATATCAAAAGGTGCTATTGTTGATCAGCTTGGAGGAGATCTAAATTCTACCCCACTGCACTGGGCAACAAGGTGGGAAAAAGTCTTCTAGAATTTTCTTTTTCTGTTTTTTTCTTAACTTGGAATCTGCTACCATTTGATTTATGAAATTGCTGTATTTTATGGTAATACTTTGCCCAAGAATTAATTCAGTCATTGATAACTGGGCATGCTGTGAATGTGGTAGGTTTGAGCTACAGGAACTTTCACCATATAGTTCAGTTTTTGTCTTCTCTCTTACTGATGTAGAGGAAGATGATTGCTATGACAGAAAAAAAGACTCAAGTAAAATTAGAGTCTATAGTCACTTTGGTTTACTCTTACTTTGGAGATCTTATTTTTTTCAGTCTTCCAAAGTTTAGCAACAGCTGTGCATATGGGGCTTGGGATGATTTTGTGTGACATTGTCCTTGCAGTATTCTATTACGTGTGTGGATTTTTTTTTTTAAGATCCACTTAATATCAGATTTATGATGTAGAAGATGGTCTGAGAATGATGAATGGCTGAGAAAATTAAAGACAGCCTTTGAGTAGTAGCTACTTCTTCAGACAACTGCCTAGAAATAGGCAGAAAAGAAACACTGTCCATATTAATATTTTTTGACTGTAGACTGCAAAAGGAGACTTAAAAAATTAGCTTTTAGAACATTTAATGTACCAAAATAATTTAATTACTAAAGATGAGGACTTGCTTGTTAGCCTCCGTTAAAGATTTTAGCTTATATATTTCTTTTTGCTACATACAGATCACACTCTGTGTTCTGTGTTAATAGCACAAAAGCTTGAGTAAATTTCCTGATGTTTATGGTTGTAATTTCTTGTTCTGTGAAGCATTGTCCAAAACCGCTTTTGACAGATTGAAAAGGTCTTTTTGCTCATGTCAGAAACTGTGCTGACCAGGCACCGTATCAGCAAGAAGGATATGCCTGTGCTCATTATGCCAAAAAGATGATTACGTTTTTAATGCAATGTGGAGGAAGTATGAGGCCTTCAGTTTTCTTTTTCTTCCTATTTTTATTTCACTGCTGTTTTTAATAGTAGAAAGATAAACCATATGCCCCACAAAAAGTGAGAATATATAGCCAGTTTGACATCTGTTAATACAGCAGGTTTCATATGTGGATTGGAAGAAGTCATAGTAGACTACATTTCTAAACTAGTATCTTTGTTTTTTTGTTGACTGGCGTTTTGCTATACAACACACTTAAGCCAATTGCATGCATTGGCTGCATAGAATTTGCTCACGTGAATGATTTTGGGTCCTCAGTTGCAGAATTAGATTGTGACAATTGTTGTTTTCAAAATACGAGTCAAAATGCAGAAGCTCTGGTAGTGTAATTAACTGCTAGACATATTTGTTGTATTCAAATATTCAAATTTTAATAGGTTTTTTGTATATAGTTACTCAGTTGTTTATTTTTTGTGTTTTGTTACATTTAGACAGGGTCACTTATCCATGGTTGTACAGCTGATGAAATATGGGGCAGATCCGTCGCTAATTGATGGAGAAGGATGTAGCTGTATTCATTTGGCTGCCCAGTTTGGACATACTTCGATTGTTGCTTACCTGATAGCAAAGGGACAGGTAAATTTTAAGTAATATCATATTTAAATGGATTCTGCTCAAGATCAGAATAGGGAAACAATTGAAACCTATACCTGTCATTCAGGAAGTGCAAAATATTTGCCTGACTAAACATAAAGATAATTCAGTGTCTTTATTGTAGACTACAGTATTGATGTGCCACCTGCTAACTTAATTTTCTCTAGCAGTGGTCTAAGTACCTTGGTTTTAATTCATACCTCTCTAGTGTAGTGTGTGGAAATACTAGCGTTTGTTCTTTTTACCATTCTTTATTTCTAATAAATTTAATCTTTAAATGTTAACAGTGACAATGATAGCAAATATTTTAGAATTCTTCACGGAATCATCAGTTTATACATGGGTAAAGAATCTAATGGCAAACAGTTGTCATAAGTCATCTCTTATTTTACACCTAAGTCCACAAGATTTATTTATTGCTGTTACTAATTGCATGCATGTGTAAATGAAAAAACCCAAAAACCTCCTTGCTAGCTTCTTATATTACTGCTAGATCTGTAAAGTGTTTATATTGCATCCGTATTCATTAGTGTTCTCATTGTCTCCCATCCTTCTTGTGTGTGCTCAAAACCACGTTCTTTTTGCTACTCACCCTACCTTATAATTTGTAGATTTACTCACCCACAGATATGTGCCTGAAGCAGAAACTTGATTTACTTTGGAAACCGTATAGAAAGGTCGAAGCGCTCCTCTCTTTTTACAGTCTTGCTAATGCTGTTTGCACGTCTGTATTCCGCTTATCCTTTCAAATAGCAAGTGAGATACAATCCAATGAGTCAGGTAGAATATGACTATGAAATCAGTGGGTTTAGTCTATGTAAAAGAAGTAATAAATTTGCTGCAGAAAGTGATTTGTTCCTATACATGTAAAAAAAAATAAACTATTGCTCCATGCAGTATTCAGTTTGTATCTGAGAACTGTTTGGTAAAACAGTATTTAGCATATTATAGAGAGTAAGCTAGGAACAAGAAGGGGCTGATCGTATATAATCACTCTTTTGTAAGAGATAATGATTGGAGAGAAATGCTTTTTCATCAAGAGCAAGTTTTGTATTTTGTTCACAAATTATGTATAATTGTATGTGGGTTTTATCTTACCAGAAAAATCTTGCAGATGTTATACATGTGCAAACTTGTTTAAAGCATAGCATTAATGAAGTGTAAATGGCCTTTAAAATGTTCTGCTGTGATAAATCTCCCTGTAAATGTTTGTTTGTCCTCATGTTTATATACAGACTTGTCCTAATTATCTGAGCATATAATACTTCAGTCTAAAAGAAGCTGAGTGCATTTACATGTGTACGTACATAAACACACAAAACTTACTTCAGAATTTAGAACTTATTATCTTAGAAACAACTGTCCTTATCAGTAGCTTTTAAAAAGATGATTCTAATTAAATCCCCCTAATGTTATCAAGTATGATTTTGGTACCTTTTCCGTGGCATAAGTTTGAATTAATTTTAACAGTAATTTTTGGAAGTGTTTCAAAAAGTTCAATTTTAAAATTATGCATGGTTTGGATGTTTAAAATATAGTAATATCAATAGCGTTGTAATAACAATCCTGAAACTCTCAATTCTTTAGCTATACTACATACAACTACAGAAACTACGGGAAATTGTTTTACTTTTTATTCTCTTTTAATAAGTACATATGAGGTCATTAATCTGCCTGCTGCGGCCCCCCTCCCCGTCTTTGTGATGCCTTGATTTGTGTTTGGAAACTTGAACTGCTTTAACTTGTGTGGCCTTACCCTGTCTACTACTTGCACCTTTTTTTTACCTTTTGTCTTTACAGGGATCAGGTTCTCTTACATCCAAAGAGTAGGCTTGCCCTTGTTCTGAACCTAATTGTAGAATCTGTATGGTAAATGACAACTAAATAAACCTTAAAATAAAGACCAGTGTAGGCTGTTGTGCTTTGTGAGTTCTGATCCCGATGCCTTTGTGGGCCTGCATGATCAGAGGAGAGCCAGCTTTCGTAACTGTGTAGAGAACTGACAGGTGGAATAAGAAGTTGCTCTGAATTGCTTCTTGCCCCTTTCTGAGACAGAGCTGGAACCCAACTTCCATGTTGCCGCTTCAGTCTCTTCCTGGCTGCAGCAGCCAATGGTAAAATTTCCGATCTGAGGCTCGAGTCCAGTCTTGTAGCTTCTGACATTAGTGTGGAAGAACTCTTGGTCAAATGCCCTCTGGTATTGGTTGGAAGTGAACTCACTTTCATGCCAGCAAGTACTATCCAGCCAAGAGGCAGCAGTGGCTGGTAACTGTTTCTTTATATTTAGTCATGTCTGTTACTGAATTTTGAGAGACTAGTACCTGGCTGTATCGTAATTTGCTCATGTTGTTTGCATCGGTAGGTTGCCTGGGTCAAAATCAAGCCTGGGGCAAGTACACAATAGAAATATGATCGGATAGCAAGTAACAGAATCTGTAGCATGGTTCAAGTTTAGGTAAGATACTTATTTAAAAAAAAAAATGCAAGAAAGAAAAGCTGAAAAGAGCTTGAAGGCCCTTTAAAGTGTTCAAAATCGATGCTCGTACTACTTGACTGCTTGAGATTGTGCTTATGCTACTTAAAATGCCAAAGGCATATTAGGGCCTAGCATAGCAAACATGTCACCCCGAAATAACTTACGACGTGGATATGGTATGTTGGATGGTTGAATAATGTGTTCTCATCTGGTGGCAGGTATGAAATAATTTACCTCAGTCACAGATGAGTGACTATAAAGTCACTGATAGGGTAAAATCATGCGTGAAATATTCTGGAGCTAAAATTACAGTTTAACTATTTCATACTCATAGTTTAACTGTCACTTATTCATTGAGTATGTATTGGTTTAGTCTCAGAGTTGCAATGTTGTGTGTTAACTGCTCTCCTGAGCTACACAGGGCCACCTCCTGAGCTATGGCTTAGGAGTAGTTGGCGTCTAGGTTGGGAGATGCCAGTGTGGTACCAGCAGCCTTGGTTACTTTGGTGCTGCTGTCTGTGAGCAGTGCTCCTGAGCACTGTTACCTCTGTTGGCACTGAGGATTGTTCTCTCGGCTGGGCTCAGGCCAGTGTAAGACATTGAACCAAGTTGTTCCCTGGACCCAACCTACAGTACGTTACTTACAGAACTGTAAGTCCGGTTGTGATTCTTTCTTGTGATTGTCAAAACTGACTCTGCATGTGATGGACTAGAGTATTCAGAACAGAGCTTTAGTTGTTTGAAGGAACAAGGTAGGTTCAGTTTTGTGTGTTACCTTGCTTGATGAACTGCCTGTCGGTCTCCACTTGGTTCATTCCACAAGAATCCTATAAAATCTCTGCTTCTAGTGAATAACTAGCACGTCTTTCCTGAATTGGGAAATGTTTTCAGCCTGATGTCTGCCTTCCTGATAAATCTTATTCACTATATGCTTTTAAATATGTCGTCTTTTTAGAAGCCTGTTTCCCTGGAAACATGGACAGTCCATGTGAAAAAGATCTTTCCCTTATAGTGAATAGGATTCCAAAAAAGGCATGATGGGTCTTTCTATGAAGGTCTTTATTTTGTGAAATAACCAGTAATGGTTCTAAAGAGGATCAAATTCCTGGTCCCTTTTTGTGCAATTTAATGCACTTATATTTCTTGATATTTTTTGTGCTTTTGTAAAGGCCATATTGTATCACAGTACATTGCTTGTTAAATGTCCTGGTAAGCCTAAATGCTGCTCTGATCACTGGCCGCTCTTCAGAATCCTACCTTGTTAGCTATATTGCTTTCAGAAAGTGATGTTAAGCAGCAGAATAGTTGCTACAGCTCTTTCCATGCAGGAGACTTTCTCCTCTATATTTTTGCCTCTCCAAAAGCTTCTTGTGAAATCTTGTATTAGGGTTGTAGGATTAAGTCTGGTTATCTTTGCAAATGCAAAGTTGTTCTCTTTCAGAATCAGAGATGTTCTATTTCAGAATCAAGTTGTAGTCCACAGAGTTCACGCTTGAAATACAGAGGGCAGCAATATGTGCAATTTTTGATCATTGCATCACTTACCGTGGAAATCTTTGGTTCTTGCAGTTCTCGTGCTGTGACACCTGACAGCATAGGTACACCCCTCTGAGCATTATCAGATTGACCCGTCACTGAGAGTTAGACAAGAAATTAATGCTAAAATGCCTGTTGGTGTGCACCAGAACAGAAGAACAGTCTCCTCATATGTACCTGCTGCTGAAGGTTTGCTTTTTTGCCTCAGCCCTTCAGTAAAAAGCAGCAACAAAGCCTCCTTTCCAAAACGTCCTGCTTGTTGTGTGGTTAAGGCAATGTTCTGGCAAAATAAGAAAGAATTTTTGATGACAAGTTTGTTAGAGCATGCATCTACTATCCACAACTTCGTCGTCTTTGTTACATCTGTACAACAGAATGCAAGTCAATTTTAGTTGCTTTGCCTCTTGTTAAAGTACCTTTGAAAAAGAATCTGCCTCAGCCCACGCTGTAGCTTAATATGAGTAATAACTGTAGCCTACCTAGGTAATTTATGTGCAGGGAATACTCTGGAGCTCATGACTCTTTTTTTCTTTTAGCTGAGTGTCACCTAGCTTGCAAAGTGTAGTTTTGATTTGTCAGGTGGAATCACTGAAGGAGTTGTTCTACTTATGTCCAGGCAATCAGCTCCCTGCTGTCACGAAGAATTGCTCTTCTATATGAAATCTAAAGATGAAAAAGTGATTGTTCATGTTACAGTAATTTGTACAATCTCCAAAATATGTTGTTCACACAGTGTGACCTGTGAATCAATCGTGCTTCTCAAGGATGAATGAACTTGAGGTTCTGATTTCCTTCAGGATCTCAACAACAGGAGGTTCAAGGGAGTGCCAACAGTTGTACAGTCTGCTAGGCTCAAAAAGATCTTACCTATACAAGTACTGTGGGCAAAGAGACTTGGATGCCAGTCTCAATGCATGTAACTCTTTTTTGAACAAACAATACAATCTACAAGTAATGATTCTCTTTCCTTTCCATTACCTGTTTTTTAAATTTCTGGTTTATTTTTTTCAAGTAAGCAACAGAGTAAAAACTCAGAAATGTAAAGTTATCTACAGGATAGGGATGTTTTAAAACCAATCGTTTGGAAGAACTAAATTGAATTTTCTGGAAAGCTTCTGCCTGGGTCAGGCTAGTAGCACCATGAGCAGGGATCCCAGAGTGATGGGCATTTGGCAGACCACTGGAGCAGACAAGAAGGTTCTGAGAGTGATAGAAAGCAACATCATCCACTTTCTAGGTTTCTGTGGCAAAAGACTTTACTTGAAATGCTTTCAACCTAATTTTCCTAGTAAGGACTGGGGGGGAGTAGCATTGGAAACATTGACTTAGCTCTGCTGCCTGTAAGGAAAACTGTTTGGGTCTTGCATTAAGTTGGCTTAGAGTAATTTTGTTAGTGATGGTCTGTGGAACTCTTCCAAATGTGCTTGACAGTCTAATCTACCACAGTGTATTTAGGAATTACCAACTTCCATGTTAGTGAGGCAGGGAACTATAACATGAAAAAATACTGTAGGTATTAGATCCTTTTTGATAGATCTAAGAGAATTGTCTGGGTGGTGCTGTTTTGTCCTTCTGTGGTTATGTTCTGTTAAATGTAATAATGATGGTTTTTTAATTTAGTTTTAGCCATCAGTTTGGCCACCGCTTGATTATAGATCAGTTTTATTTCTGGATAGGTTATTTTTATTAATGACGTTTGTTCAAACTTAAATTTTCTGGCATCCATTAACTTGATATTCAGATATGTAAATACCTTTGGAACTGAGTGAATTAAGGAAAATTGCTTTGCAAGTGGGAAAATAGATGCAGTTAGCATTCAGTAGGATGTAGGATTCAGGCCATGGTATTTATGTTACTTTATCAAGTATTTTATTAAATATTGGTACATTATTTTAGTTTCTCCTGCTTTTGAGTCTAATAGTACACCATCTATATATATCTTTTATGTTGAAGATTAATAGTAAGATAGAAATGACTAGTCTTGTACAGCATGACTGTTTCTTAGTTTCCAAGATAAATGGGAAAGGTTATATTTTTGCGATGGTTGTGTTAATGTCTGTTTTCATTTTTTAAATACTATTTTATTATTTACTGAAAGCTTGCCAGTTTTTTGCCAATTCAGTTGGTTAGTCTTAAAATACTGCTACTCATTGCAAACCTTGTATCTGCTGGATCTTGAGCATGCTTACTTATCTCACCGACTTTTTTTTTTCTTTTCCTTTTTTAGGATGTAGATATGATGGATCAAAACGGTATGACACCTTTAATGTGGGCAGCTTACCGAACACATAGGTAATATCTCACTGGCGTGTTTACTTCCTCTTGATGTTAACTATGTGGCATATAGTGTGACTGACTTTGATTTTTTCTGAAATTTTTTTGTTTGTTTAACTAGTCAGTGTTCTTTCCACAATTGTCAGTTTATCTTTCTTCACTTAGGATTGTTGTGACCCCAGTGGGCAGCTCAGCCCCATACAGCCACTTGCTTGCATCCTCCTCCTTTCCCACCAGCTTTTATTGCTGAGCATGACATGATACAGTCTGGAATATCCCTTTGGTCAGCTGTCCCAGCTGTGTCCAGCTTCTAGCCCACCTCCAGCCTGCTCGCTGGTGAGACAGTGTGAAAAACAGAAAAGGCCTTGACCCTGTGTAAGCACTGCTCAGCAATAGCTACAACATGGGTGTGTTATTAACAGTTTTAGTCACAAATCCAAAACCCAGCACCTTAGGAGCTACTGTGAAGGCAACTTGATTCCAGACAAAACCAGTACAATGACCTGTTCAAGAGAGAATATTATGCTGAAGTATCCACTAATATGAACTCTTAGTTTATAAGGTAAATCTTCCTGTGGAGATGATTGGAAAAAGCTGGTGTAAAATAACACTTCTCCAAAGAGCAAATTTGTCTGAATTAGATTCCTGCTTGGAAGGGCCTATCTGTATCAGTTGTTGAGAGGAACATAGGCTAACTTTTACAAATACCTACCGTTACCAACATTATTATCCTATTCTGTTTTCATCTTTTGGAATGTGAAGTGGAAATATAACACATTTTGAACTTTGGTTGTTATCTGCCAAGTCTATAATCATGTGCATGCTTTCACAAATCTGTTAAGGTTAGCTTTTGGTAAACTTGGAAACAGAATTGTGTACCAAATGTGTTTCGTGACATCCCAGAACAAACTGTCTTACTGAGCTCCTTTAATAGTCAACAGAATTGTGGTTGCTCTTTGGTGGGAAGGGAATTTGAGCCATTCATAATCATCAGCAAAAAATGCCACTTTGCTATTATATAGTGTACATGATAAAAATTGAACTCATTAACAACAAGTTCATATGTATTTGAGCTCATCCTCTGTAGATCTAACAAGACTTTTTTTTTCTAGTGTGGATCCAACCCGATTACTCCTTACATTTAATGTTTCTGTGAACCTTGGAGACAAATATCACAAAAACACAGCATTGCACTGGGCTGTGCTAGCAGGAAATACTACAGTTATTAGTCTTCTGTTAGAAGCTGGAGCTAATGTTGATGCTCAAAATATAAAGGTAAACAATTGGTCTCTTTTTATTGTAAGTGGCTTGAGGCAGAAATAACAGAGCCTATAATAAATCTCAATAATAGATTATTATTGTGGGTATAGTGGGATCGTGAAGATGGAGCAAAAGGCATACCACTAATTTTAGTTTGGGAATCACTTTTTCCTGACAGTGATGCATAACTGCTAAATCTGCACCTTCAAAAGTACTCGTGTGAATAATTTACCAATGGTTATGTGAAAATATGTGGGAGTGGGGTGTGCAGTTAGACTGCATACGTGAAGACCCATGCACTTGGATGCAAAATTGGAAATCTGACCACGTCATCCCTTCCCATCCAAACCATTCTATGATTCGAGTGAAGTTCTGGGATGACTGTTGGAGTGAGATGTGAGACATCTCTGTCCTGTTGCAGAGAGATGGCAAATACTCTAGTATATCTCCCAGTGGCACTAAGGAAGTTGGAGACCTGAAAGTACCGGTAGAAGTAAAATAAGAAAATGGGCTCTTTTTTGCACCTGATTACTCTGCCACAACCTCTTAATGACGAAGCTAGGTTCAGCACTAACAGAGCCCATCCCTAACATATGTTAGACTAGTCAAGCAGCTGTTAAAATTCATGCCATAGGCTTGGAGCCTATGAGCTTCTCCAGCAGTGGAAGGTGCAGCTATTGAACATGGTTTTGTCCATTGCCTCCAGACTATTCTGAGTATCAAATTAGATGCACTTCACCACCCAAGCTCTTTCTTCTGTGGTGTCAGAGAAGAATTTACTTTTAGAAAAAGAATTCTCTACTCAATTTCTCTTCAAATATTTGTCTTTTCCACTTAATGAGTGTTACAGATGGAGTGATTACACTGGAAAATATAGCTGTAAATCTACATTTACAAAATATTAAATACTTAAATTTATTAGACCTTTCACCATTTTCCCTACTGACTTAGATGGCCAGGGCCTATTTTGCTTGGCCACAAGTGACAGAAATATGCTAAAAAATACATATATGCACCCATTTTCTTGAACAGCATGGAACAGTCTTTTCAAGGGTGCAGCCAAATTTTGCTAGTAGCTTTCTGGGTCCTACATCCACTTTAGAATGTCAGAAATACTGATGATCATGAATGAAAACTCATTAGAAAAATCACATGACTTTTAACGTGTTTAAAACAAACCAATTAGCCTCTTGCATTTACTGATGTGAATATATAATAATTATTCCTGGTCTGTAAGGTCAGTTGTGTGGATGGATTATGCTTCTAGTCTCACTTCTTGTAAACTGTTGAAAAGCTTTTTTTGTATGCCACCTAATGGTAAAAATCAAGGTGTTTTTGTGGGGGAAAAAAATCAAATGTGTCATACTGATGATGGCAGACTGATTAGTGTGATTAGAGTTTTAAAGTAATCACCTTACCTACATTTCTGGACTCTTAGAAAATTTGTAATAAAAATTTGTATGTTTGGCCAAACAAAAAAGAACCTGCAAGCATGAAGCAGTTCATGGTCTCTCCTTCTTTTATTGACAGACAGCAGCAGTCAGTAGAAAAAAAGGTTTTTGAACCTGCTGGATCATGATATCTTTCCAGTCATGCCAGAAGACGTGTGCCTGGTTTCATTCACTGCCTTCTGCAGTGGAGACTAGGTTTCTTGCATGCCTTCCCAGGTTTCTAGGATCTTCAGAGGATCAAAATCATTCTAGCCATTGCACTTTTGCCGTCCTGCCAGTGGCTTTATAACAGATGCTGATTTGGGTGACAGTAAACATATAGGAAACGTAAGAATTTGGTTGATTTTTATAGGTATATAGAAACTCAGTTTTGTGGTTCTCCTTTGATTATTCAGCAAAAAAGTTTTCTTTGAGCCAAAAACCAGTTGTTAGGTGTCTGGCTCGTATTTCCCCAGAAATGAAAGGAATTGCGAAAGGCTCCTTTCTGATGCAGTCACCTCCAGATTTCTGCAGCACTATCTAGTGAAGTCCTTTTCTCATCTAGCCTGTGGAATTGACCAAGAATAGTGGTAAGATAGCGAAGGTTAAAGAAACACATTGACTGAAAGCCATTCATCTTTTTCAAATTGTGAAGTGGCTGAAACATTAGGTGCGAGCTTTGACCTCGTTGTCATCAGCTCTAGGCAGTCGGTGTTAGAAAGGCGCGCGCGCTGCCGGCCGCCCGGGCTTGGAACAAATGGGAACCAGTCGTTCTCATCAAGTTGCTCTTTCTACTTTGCGTGACAGCTTGAGTAGTGTATGAACGATGGCACTCTTATTCTAGAATACAGCTTGATACAAGCAGTGGGTTTGTCCTGTTCTTGTTATTTATTTTCTTTGTATTATGTTGTACAAGAAAGTAATACTTTTTTGGTAATGAGATAGTTTGGGGTTTTCTCCCCCACCTTTTTGAGAACTGGATTGCAGCTGGAGGTAGAAGCTGATTTTCACTAATCAAAGTAGAGTGGGGTTGGTTTGTTTGTTTGTTTGTTTTTTGTTAAGGAAATTATCTTACCATACCAGTAGACAGATTGTTTAGATGAGGACAGGATTACACAGGGAGTCAGTTTATCACTGGGGGTCAGTGGGAAACCTGTAAATTTTATTTAAATATAAGCAGAAGCTCTATTTTCTCTGGAGAGTGATAGAGACTGAAAAGAGCTTTTATGGTTCAAGGAAGTTTTTGGTTTTTTGAATCTGTTAATGAGTCATTGAACGGACTTTAGATGTAGTTTCTTAATTATGCAGTGTACCTGTAGGTTTGTCTGTGGAAATCTACATGTAAAGTTCCCTATAGTAATGACACTTCAGATTATTCTTCCTATATAAACACTTAAAATAGATACTAATGAAGACTTACTGCTTGCTAGCAAACTAAGCAAGTTACTAGATTAATTTCCCTGATTTTTTTTTTTTTGCTTTCTAAGCAAGTCAGCCATCCACCACCCCTGTGAATACAAGGAAAGTATTAAAATGACCAGATGATGAGAAGCATAGTCAAAGACTTCTTTAAAGCTCCCTCAATCTTTTTATCTAGGCAGTTCCTAGGTGTCTCATGGCCCATGACTAGTGGAAGGGATGTTCAGCTGGACCCCAAGACAACTTCAGGATTTACTTGGGAGATCAACTCCCAGGGGGAATTGCTTGTCCACAGGTAATCTTTACAGTCTGGATATATAAGGTGGTATTAAAACAACAGCATCTCTGGGGTTTTCCAGATATTAGCAATTCAAGGTGCTATTAAATTTGTGGTGAAGCAGGCACCATAGTTTGATTTCAGGCATTTCTGTTGAGGATGGAGGTAACTTAATCTGTTTCTTAAACATCTGGCTAAATAACTTTGAAGCCAAGTTAAGTCAAAAGGTTATTATTTTTAAACTTTTTTAACTAGTTAAACTTCTCGCTCAGGAGTGCAAGATCCCGTCAAGCAGCAGAAAGCTTCACCTCATAATCTGTAGTCTGTGCTATTTACTCTCCCTTTAGAGATTAGGAGGAAGATTTCAAAGGCAAAAATAGCAGTTAAGTACTCAATTCCCATTGTCTTTCTATGGGATATCAGTAGCTAACTGTACTTTTAAATCTTTGAAATCTCTTCTGTCTGTAGTAATTATTGCCCATTCTGGGTAATTTCAGTTTCTGGTACCTGTCTCACTTTTTTTTTAGGAGGGGGCCGAGCGATGGAGGATTCAGCCATTTTTCAAGCCTCCATGAATGGCTTGTTTAGGAGGGGAGTTAACTCCAGTAGAAGAGAGGAGGAGTCAAATGCAAAACTGAAGCTGGAGGTACCTGCAATTGGTTGTCTCTTGCCTCCTCTATAATTTTAGACCCAGTCAATAACTTTCATTTAGCTCTCTTCCTACATGTTTAAAAAGCAATAAAATTAAATCAGTTCGATAGGCACCTTTGGCCCCTGTATAATTTCTCTCTGTCTCTCTTTTGCTTTGTCTGTCAGCCCTCTCTGAGAGTAGGGGAAGAGAAAGCATGGATCATTGGTGGCTTAGCACCCAAAACACATGAAGCACAAGCTAAACTTAAAAGCTCAGAGTTTTGGAAAGAGTTGGACATGAGCAATCAATTTATACTTTCCTGTTTTCTTCCTAAGACTTCGGTAACTGAGATGAATATCAGAATGTTAAGCTTGCATAAAAAAAATTCCTTTTAGAAACATTCCATGATATTAGTAATGTCACTGCCAAGAAGGCAGAGAATAAACTGACAAGTCAGGCTTTAGACTGGGACAATTTCCATGATCCAGTGGGTTACAAGCTCTTATTCTTTGCTTGATTTCTGCTGCCTGTCAATAGCTGAGGGAGGAAGCACAGTCTTTCATTTACAGACTAGTAGACTGTGTCTGCGTGTGGAACAGTGAAACATAGATGTGTTATGCCAAAGGCAACAATTATTGCTGTGTCAGGACATACATGTTGTCAGGATCACACGTTTAATATTCTACTTGTCCACGCATGTATAGCTATGAGAGAGTGAAAAAGACGGAAAGTAATGAATGATGTTTGGTGTCAAGTAAGCTGCAGAGCAAAAAAGCGTGCCAGGATGTAGCCTAAACTGATTTAGAATATATTCTTTTTACCTGCCAATCTTCTGTTTCAAAAGTGCTCTGAATGCATTTTATTTTTAAACTGGATGTTTTCCACTTTTATACTCCTGGCAGGGAGAATCACCGCTTGATCTAGCAAAACAGAGGAAAAACGTTTGGATGATCAATCACTTACAGGAGGCAAGACAGGCAAAGGGTTATGACAGTCCATCCTTTCTGAGAAAACTAAAAGCTGATAAGGTAAGAAGTAGTATAACTCTTCTATAAATCGTTATTGCAGCTGCTGTTGATTTGGAGGGGTGTGCGTGTTTGTTCAAGGTAAGCAGTTCAGTACTGTAGTTTCCCCAAATTTCAATTTTAGGAAACATCTTTTTTTGATGACAAAAGAAATCTCCTCTCTAATTATGTAGTGTTTTGTGTTGAATGAAAGGAGCAGTCAGTGTTGGCAGTATAATGTAGTATATGAATTGCTAATATGGAAGCCTTTTTCTCACTAGACTATTATTTAATACTGCAGATGGGAGGAGACAAGAAATGAGGGTATAAAGGGTAATTGTTGCTCTAGAATGAAGAACTATCTAACTGCCTATAGTTTGAGAGCTTCCAGAGAGCTAGTGTTTTCTTACCATGCAGAATGTTGTGCTGAATATTATGTATTGCTATCACTGATTTGTTATGACTTCTTGATTTAAAGATACGTTGCATCTTGATGATTAAAGCACTGGCTATAGCCTGTGCTTTAACCCTGACTTTGAGTGATTTGTGCATTGTTTTATGTACACATGTGCGTCGTCACTATGCTTTGAATAAATATCCAGAAAGAGTTCAGTGCCTTCCTCAGGATTTATAACCACATAGTCTAAGACAAAAAAGACCTATCTTTCTTCATAGATGCTTCAGTATGACTTTATCTTTTATTTGCATAACTTCAGTCTTTAGAGTTCACTGAGATTACCATGTGCTGTGTAATAGTTTATACACTTTGACAGATTCTTTAAAAAGAGCGCCTGTTGCTTTTATTCTGAATGAACAGTAAAATCTCTAAAAGACAATTATTCTAAAATAAATAAATAAAAAAGTATTGATTTGCTGTAAAATTTTAGGAATATTTTTTTCTTGCCCATACATTAGAGATATGTAAATATAGGAAATGTCAAAAATTTATGAAGATTCCTCTCCCTATGTCAAGCTTCCTGGAAAATTATTTACGTCTTTTTGATTGTCTTATTTATTGTGGAATATTGTTATACAGCCTGATCCTAAAAATAGAATTACTTACTGATATTTGTTTCTTTATAGGAATTCCGTCAGAAGGTGATGCTGGGAACTCCTTTCCTAGTAATCTGGCTGGTTGGGTTTATAGCAGACCTAGACATTGATTCTTGGCTCATTAAAGGGCTGATGTATGGTGGCGTTTGGGCTATGGTGCAGTTTCTTTCAAAGTAAGTGTTTTACCAGGACACTGTCTGTTTAGTGTGCACACAGAAGTATTTTGCTGTTATCTTTATTGGATAAGTAATCTTAAATTTCTATGTTTTGTATGGGGCTTTTGGCATGCAACGTTTATTTTTCGTTGGAATGTTTTTAGTTACTATTTCTGGGAAAAATCTTGTGCAGTTTTAGCTCTTGTGATTCTCCGTTGTCTTGCAAATAGCCGTGGAATTACCTTGGGTGAATACCACTGAGCTAATACAAGCTAACAGCAGAAGAGAAATTCAGTCATTCTCCAGAGGAGGGTGCTGAATGTCTGTCGTCAAAGAGTCACCAGCGTGAATTTTGAAGAAAACAGTCAAGGGAAAAGTTACTAGAAAGGAATAGAAAAAATGTATGTGCAAGTTTGCTATTAAACCGCAATTTTTTAGAGTTTAAATACCCAAAGGCATCTGAAGAGATTTCTAGAGAGAAATGAAGTCAGAGTCAAGTTTTGTAGCTTCTGTTGTGGAAGGGGATGACTGAAGTAAAAGACTGCTTTCTAGTAATGTTTTTCATTTGTTACCTGGTAGTAAAGAATTTTTGTTGTTTTTGGGGTTACTTTAATTATCTGTAAATGCATGGGCATATGCAAGTGTGTATTCACACACACGCACGCTCCAACAGATTTTCAAGATCTGTAGACTACTTCGTCTATGCTTTGCGTTTCATTGTCATATGTAGTATGTATAGAAGAGCTTGTAATTTCCATACTTAATAGCTTACTGCTTTTCTGACATTGAAAATCATGTTTATTAGAACCACTTCTTCCTTCTTCCTTTCTGTTTAAAGAGGAAGATAAAATATATCTGTACCTTAAACCAAGTTCACAGAATCTTAGTGAACTTTGTACACTGGGAGGGATCTGAGGGGGTATCAGGCTTTTTCTCATGCGGGAGATGATGTTTAGTCTTTTTGTCATCGCTGATACTGTGCAATCTGCTGACCTACTCCCACAGGTAGTTTACTCAGCAATGTGAATCCTCAACCATGCCTTCTGCAGGCAAGGACAAGATTTCTTCAAGTTTCTCTAGATCTATGTTTTGTCAAGTTTTATGTTTTTGACCTACCTGACACATACTCAGGATTAACATTCTTACTTTATCTTATCCTTTGCTTAATGTTTAGTATAAATACTTTTTGAAGCATTTTTCACAAAGCCCAGGTTTGAATGAAACTTTTGCTATCGTTCTAGTAGTATTTCCTTTCCCTATTGAATTTTAACTATTTTGCTTAGCTGTGTTTTCCTTCCTACTTCTTTCACAAAAGAGAACGCACAGAAATCACTGACTACTGTGTCCGAATGTATATTTACTTATTGCTTATCTTCCTTATATGATTTTTCTCAAAAGACCTCCATTAGAGAAGAGACAGTTAATGCAAAGGAGTAAAGGAGTAAAATGGAAACTACTTAGTGCACACATTTGTCCATGGCAGCCCTGAAGGCACCACCAGGTCAAAAAGCCAAACGCATCAATGTAAGGATCTTTAGGCAGATGATGGAAGCTTTATTTCAAAGAGTTTAGCAGTTCAGAGTGTGACTTTTGATATATTTAGCAACTTTTTTCTTGAATATGGAGTTACCTAGTCACTGACTTAGTTCGTCTCAAGTAAATATTGAGTTCGTCTCAATATTCTTTACTCAGAATATTGTTTAAAATGCAAGAGTATAAGAAGGTGAAAATAATTCTGATAGCTTAATTTATTTTTTTTTATTAAATTAGCAGCATTCTATCTTAGAACTTGGCGAATCTAGTGATTTGGGAAGTGAATTAATCTGGGTGTTTTTCCAACTTTCTACTGGCATCTCTAACAAGCAAAAGATTCAAGAATCTGAAATATTGCAAGTATGTAGGCTGATAACACCAAGGTCTCTTAAGCTTTTTTCTTACTGAAGTAATTTTAATACGTAATTTTTGTTATATGGTTTGCAAAATATCTTTAGCACTAAAATTTCGTAAGTAAATGCAGTTTGCAGCACTATTGATGCTCTCGGCTAGGAATCTCATAGATTTCTAGCTGCTTTCACAGTGTAGTTTTAACATGAGTATTTACTTATGCTTCCTTTCTTATCCAGTTCTTGACATTCACTTAAAAAGTGAATGTATAAATTTTAATTAAATAATCTTCAGTCATGGACCTTCATCTGCACAGGTTGAAACCCAGAATTTCTCATGAACTTTGAAGATAAAAGTGAATGTTTTTATGACATGTTTTGCAATATCCCAAGTAGTACATATTTTAACAGGAAGTGTTTTTCAAAATGAGTAGTTCAGAATTTACATTTTATAAGTCGAAACTTACCATTTGACATTGTCCATACTTTACAGGTCATTCTTTGATCACTCCATGCACAGTGCACTGCCTCTTGGAATATACTTGGCAACGAAGTTCTGGATGTACGTGACGTGGTTCTTCTGGTTTTGGAATGATATCCTTTTTTTGTGTACAGTAATAAGAAATATTTTTTCATGTTAGTAGTATGAGGTAATACCTAGATATATCCTACATATAAAAGTAAGTAAACTAATTAAAAATTGAAAATTACTGTCTCCATTAAACACTGCTTTCTGTATTGATGGTAATTATTTTATTGCTTTAAAAATGTGCACATTATTGCTTTACTTCAGTAAGTGAAAGATTTTCCTCAAAATTGGCTTACAGTAGTCTGCAAAATTTCCTGTGCTTTACCAATTTCTTAAGTGGCGGAAGTGTAAGCAACTCTAAAAAATATGCCCTGGCTGTGAGATGACTAGGTGTAATTGACTGCAATTTTAGACATTGCTTTTCTGAAAATCAGTAGGTGATTTCATGGTATGTATCAATTCCAGTGGAATTAGCTTTATCGTTAGTTCTTCCTAAAGAATTTGCAAATTCCATTTCATACAAACTTTATATATATTTGTTAACTGTATTTTCAGTCTTTGAAGATGTAGATATTAACAACACTAGATTATAGCAATTCTGCATATGTCCATCTTTTCATATTTTTGACTGTCTGCCTAGATATGAACTTTGTACTCACAGGGGTACAAATTGATTCAGAGTTCACTGCAGAATGTCAGTTATCCACCTTAAGGAAATAGATTAAAATTTTTAAACAATTGAGTGTTGTAATTAGAATAAACAAGAAAACAAAATGGAGATTTAATGTTTTATTAAATGTTTAATACAGTTCTCATAGTTTTAAATAGTTGAAGTGAACTTAATACTTATGATGGATGTTGGCTTGACTTTTCTAGAAACTGGTTTTCTTTTTATGCTCAAAGGAATTACCGTGAAACAGGATGGTAGCAATGCAACCCTTTTATCATCTTGTTAATATATTCTCCAACCTTAGCTAAGTAAGCCTCACATTTTTGGATTGAGAATAGAGAGGAGATCCTGTTTCTGTGCTGCCTTTGGCTTCTGTGCTGACAGTGTTTGCAAAGGTGCTGCTGTGAATAATCGCAGTCCCATGTGACTGGAGGTGACTGTGATTTCACGTTTAAAAAAACCTAACAATGAAAATCTAGTAGCTGTTAAGGAAAAAAAAAAATCTATCAATATTAGCGTGAGTGTGTCTTGAAATAGCTGCTTAGAAATGCTGGTCCTAGTACAAGTCTTGCTTTTCTATGGTTTTACTCAAATTTACTAGTAGCTGCAGAATGAGGAAAAGTGTATACAAAATGCACATTAAAAAACAGTAGTTAAAAATGGAGGTATACTTTTCCAGTTTTTATGGAATGGAGTAGAACTGTCTAAATATGTCTAGAATGAAATTGCTTTTCTGTTCTTTTTGTTAAGAAAACCTGACTTTTGGCAAAAAGTAAAAGACAAATTTCTAAGGCAGTTATAATAACTACACCATCTTACTTCTGAATCTCAGCTGTCCATACCTTGTAGGTTTTCTTTAGAAACTCACTTTTGCTGATGCTATTACACGTTTTGGGTTGGGAATGTTGAGATGTTCAGTGTTCATTGAACCAAGTCTAAGAATGTGTGCAACTTTAAATCAAAGTCCTTGACCATATTAGAATGGCTGTATAGACAGCACAATTTAATGATGGCCTCTATCTTGATGTAGAAAACCATCTCTTAAGGCTGGCAAATTGTGAGATTTTTATCTTGAAGCTTATATTTTCTTCATATTTTTACCAACTTGCCTAGATTTTTATTTCTGTTAGCTTTTCTGATTAAGGTAACTTGAAGTTTGGGTTGGTTTGTTTTGGTTTTTTTAGTCACAGGATAATGTTCATTGTCCACTAGGAGTAGTAACCATAGACAATTAATTACCCTAATAAAGTCTGAGTTCAGAATATCAATAAAATACTGTACTGCTTCGGTGATTTAAGATAAGTGCCTCAAAATCTTTGCAGCAGTCTTTTTGTACACAGTAGTAGCAGTCTAAAAACTTCAGTTACTAATTGCTTTCATTAGAGCTGACACAATTCTCTGTGACAAGCAGTTTTAGAGACTTAGTGCTTGAGGCCGTCTTCCTTTAATTGATGATTTTTAATTGGAAGTCTTTGTAATGAGATTCCAAATTCATTATTCCTAAGTCACCATCCCAGGAGGTATTTAAAAGACATGTAGATGTGGCACTTAGGGACATGATTTAGTGGTGTACTTGGCAGTGCTAGGTTAACGGTTGGACTTGATGATCTTAACGGTCTTTTCCAACATAAATGATTCTGTGATTCTAGGATTCTTCTGGAAAATTGCCCTGTAGCTTTATTGGAAAAAAGAAATTGCATGCCTGCTTTATTTTTATAGCCTGAGGCACAGCATTGTGGTTGGAGAAAGGATTTTTGTATTTTTACAGCTTTGTATGATTACTTACAGCAGACCAGAGTACTACTTTATACTCTGTAATATTCAAGTGATGAAACTCGTCCTGGTAGTTTTTGTGAATTCTGACCATCTTTTGCTCAGGAAAAAAAATTCTAACCTTAAACAGCTCACAAATTGCCTTGTTGGAACTTTATATTATAAGTAATTGAAAGTCTTAAATGCTGCAAGTGTTACTTTCATATTCAGGTGTTTGGTAAGAATTTTCTTGTAGATATGTTGAAGGTGTCTGGAAGATCATCTGGTCTTCTAGATTCAATACTAATGAGCCAGAAAAGGGCAGTTGAAACAACGTGTCATAAAGAACAAACAAAACCAAAGATTAGCATTGTGTTTTCTTGAATCTTAGGGTGGTTATGTGAAAAGAGTCTATAAATTTGAAGGTTTAAAGATGTGTCTTCTAAAAGACCAATCTTGAAAGCAAATTCAAACAGTTTAATCTAGTGTACTGAATCTTTATGGATGTTTCTATTCTGGTGGATTTTTCTCAGCAGCTTCTGAGTCTGGTATATTTGTTAACATAGAAATCCTATTCTTGCTGGGAATGAGGAAGTTATGATCTCTATATTTATGGATATATAAGTCTATGGTCCTGTGCTTCCCTGCCACTGTTTTGCTGCTGTTTTGCCACTTCCCTTTAACTGTATTTCGCCTATAACAAAGGATAGTTATATTTTGCTCTTTTAGTGTATTCTAATCTTCTGTTTACGGAGTAGTGGGGAAAAAAACCCTCAAAATTCTTATGCACTAAATCACTATATTTTTATTTCGTTTTCTTTTTAAAGGGGGGAGGGAGGATTTGAAAGCTTACTTTTATTAACATGAGACTAGAATTTCACATTTCATTCTTTTTCATTAACGTTTATAGGTAGAACGTTCTCTTATGTCCTGTAAAAGTTCAGGGTGCATGTACCGAGTTCATATCTCAGTTGTTCACGCGGTCTTTTCAGTTCCAGCTGAACAAATAGTGCCTGCTGTTGCAGAAAGTTCTTACACTGCTCTGTTTTTCTAAGATGTCAGAGTTTGCTGTAACCCAAAATATTCACAGTATTTTTTTTTTTTAGTTCTGCCACTTCCATTTGATGCAAATAGTAGCGTGCAGTTTGCATTAATTAAGCTTTTATGATACAGCATGCTACTTGCAATGCTGAGATAACAAGATGATATAAGCCAATTTATAATTTTTTAAATAATTTATCATTGACTAATACTGTGATTATCTTATTTCAAATATACTTCAAGTGTTGATGAGTTCTAGGTGAAGGAAACACTGCACACTTTTCAATTAGGGATCATTTTAAAAACTGGATGTAAGAGAATTCATCATGATTTTCATGCTTTCATAAAGATGTTACAATAGCGTAGTGTTTTAAAAATGGTAACAAACCAATTGGTACAATTAAGCAGTTAAAAACACCAAAATATCATGTTACCAAAATTAGTTTCAGGAAAACAGCGAAAAGCCTTGCATGCAGAAAGAAGGAAGCCAGCAGCCACATTTCTAGAGGAACTAAAGACCCCAAAAATCCAAACCCCGGGCCCAGCTATCAGAAGCTTCTGTTTCTGTGTCTACGTACTTTTTCTAAATGTAAAAAATAAAAAATTCTGGAGTGAGGCAGATGGCAATGAATGAATTTTTTTTCTCAAAGTAAGGGATTTTCTTTATGTTTGATAGAAGATAGAGGTAGAGAGCTTTTGCAGAGCTTCAATTGATTAAAAATGGGGTTTGTTTAATAAATATCTAGTCAACTGAGGCTTCTTGTGTGGCTACCTGCTGCTGTCTACCTGTGCTCTTGGATCCAGATGCACAGCATTTATGAATTGTCGGGTTCCTTAGCACGTATTGATCTCTGGCAGCTTACTCTGGCTGCAGATCTTTCTCTTCAGGAGAAAAGGACTTTATTACTGGATTTGTAGTTAGTTGAAGCGGGCATCTTGGTATATAGTATGCACTTTGGTTTGGTTTCAGACTCTTGTATGATGTGTTGCTGTGATAGCAGGAAGCTGCATGTGTTTGGGCCCTTTTAAATAAGCTGCAGTTCAGGGTGAAAAATTAGCTTGTCACATGTTTACCTCCCCACGAGTTGTGAGGTGCTTGTTTGGTTTTAGTTTTCTTTTTAATAAGATGGTCTTTTTGGTTCTAAGTGGTTTCCTGGAGTAGTTTTCAGCCTATTGTACTCATTCTAATGATTAAAGGATATTGATTAGGACTAAAGTAGGAATTGTTTCGTGGGTGTTTCTGCTTTTGTCTCTCATAATGAAAACTGGGGGAACCTCATAAAAGACAGCAACTTGGCAACAGGGCAGAAGGTGAATGCGTGCTATATCATGCATTTTGCAGCCTTTAATAATATGGTAATGTAGTTTTCCCTGCATAGTTGTAAATGAGGATGTTAGGACAAAAGGAGGCACTCTCTCTGGAGAACTGATTCCCTACTCTGTAACTAATGCAAACCTACAAGGGTTTCTTGCATATGAAGAGTTTTGAGAGTTGCTCAAAGTTGCTAAGATTTCTTTGGAAGTAAACTTCAGAGGGGGGTTCACCATAATTTTACATACCTCTAGTGTGGACATCCATATCTATGTTAGTTGTTAAGGCTCTCTTCATAGTCAGTGGAGAAGAATAGCCACTCGTAGGGCACTGCTTCTCTGACTTAATTTAAATATCTTGATAGTAAATTAGATTGGATGTAGCTTTTTCATTTACGTTGTATATGAAGGCATACTGAGTGATTTAAGGTAGGTGAGATGAATCCCACAGTTGGAGTTGTTCATCTACATCAGATGCTAGAAATACCCTGGAGAAGACAATTCTGACTTTCCCTTCTCCTTCAAAGTCTGGTTGGTTTTCATCCCTTCTCCCCAGTTTTGCTTAAAACTTAGGAGAAATGAGTTTTTGAAGATACTAATGAAAAATACTGCTGACTTTGTCTGCCTTCTTTTACATAGTTACTACTCATCTATAGTTAACTCTGCTTTCTCATTTAGTCTCCTGACATCTCCCATGCTCAGCACAGAAGTACCTTATGTGCCACGATTTATACTGTCACCATTGCAGTCATCTGACACCACTGTGATAAAAGGAAAGGCAAAACTAAGACTCTCTGAGGAGTCTCTTATGCTCTCTCTGTGTTTTGTGGAGTAAAATGGGGGAAGGGTAAGTTCAGAAAAATTTTACATGCTGAATTTTCTACTCATGTGGCTTGGATCCATGGACAGCTTCTTCATCACACAGGTTATCCAAATTTTAGTCAGTAAAAAAACAATTCCAAAACTTAAACGTCATAAAAACCCTTTTACTGGGTAGGGGGAAAGACAGTTTATTTTCTATCTTCTTTAACAGTCTAGACATGATGTATAGTAATTAGGAATGGGACATATATTTTTTTTTTCCAATTGTACCTTTATTGTTTGTAACAGATGTCTGATTAAGGTATTTTTAATGAACAAACAGTTTTCACTGTTTTGGCAAAAACCTTGGTGATACTTTTAGTATTCTAAAGAAAATGTAATCTCTCTCTAGCTATGCAAATAAGTTGAATGGGCTTATTCTTGGCAGCAGGTAGAAGAAAACAGGAAGAAATAAGGTTGAATAAATATTAAAATCAGAGCTTTTCATCTGTAATGTATCAAATAGAACTTTGTTTAGATTATAGTATGGCTGGTGTTTTTTTCCCCCTATTATAAACTTGCTGAAAACAGCTTGTTAGAGGAAAGATTAACTAGGCTTTAGTGAGTTAATACTTTAACATTCTTCTATATAAGGTGCATGATTAAAATTTTAACTTAACTTGCCAGTATTTTTTATTAGAAATTCACAGCCAATTCCTCCCCCAACAGGAGGAAAACGAAAGTTATTCGGGATACACTTCACGTGAACAATGACACTTTATTAGACTTTCAGAAGTGAAAAGGAGGCCTTACTTGTATTTATTCATACTTCAGGCTTCTTTCCCATCACAAGAGCAGTGTTGAACGATTTCAGATGGTTGCTGTTATTCTATAGAAATTCTGTTTTCATTTAATAATTGCTTGTATCTGTACTATGTAGATTTGTTTATCAATGGTTTATGTAATTTTTTTCTTAATAATGCTTAATATCTTCAGTAAACACTTTTTCCAAGAATATAGTCAAACAGAATAGAACATACTTGTTGATATGTAGTGGAATATATCAGTGTCATAGAATCATAGAATGGTTTGAGTTGTAAGGGACCTTAAAGATCATCTAGTTCCAGCCCCCCTGCCGTGGGGAGAGATGCCTTCCACTAGACCAGGTTGCTCAAAGCCTCATCCAGTCTGGCCTTGAACACTTCCAGGGATGGGGCATCCACAACTCCTCTGGGCAACCTGTTCCAGTGCCTCACCACCCTCAGAGGGAAGAATTTCTTCCTAATATGTAATCTAAGTCTACCTTCTTTCAGTTTAAAACCATTACCTACCCCTTGTCCTGTCACTACACGCCCTTGTAAAAAGTCCCTCTCCAACTTTCTTGTAGGCCCCCTTTAAGTACTGGAAGGCTGCCAGACGGTCTTCCCAGAGCCTTCTCTTCTCCAGGCTGAACAATCCCAACTCTCTCAGCCTGTCTTCATAGGAGAGGTGTTCCAGCCCTCTGATCATCTTTGTGGCCCTCCTCTGGACCTGCTGCGGCAGTTCCATGTCCTTCTTGTGTTGGGGATTCCTGAGCTGAATGCAGTATTCCAGGTGGGGTCTCACGAGAGCAGAGTCGAGGGGCAGAATCACCTCCCTCGACCTGCTGGCCACACTTCTTTGGATGCAGCCCAGGATACGGTTGGCTTTCTGGGCTATAAGTGCATGTTGCTGTCTTGTGTTGAGCTACTCATCGACTGGTGCTCCCAAGTCCTCCTCCGTGCTGGTCTCAATCCATTCTCCACCCAGCCTGTACGTGTGCTTGGGATTGCCCTGAGCCATGTGCAGGACCTTGCACTTGGCCTTGTTGAACTTCATGAGGTTCTCACAGACCCACCTCTCAAGTCTGTCAAGATCCCTCTGGATGGTATCCCTTCATTTCAGCATGTCGACCACACCATACATCTTGGTGTCTTGGTGTCGTCAGCAAACTTGCTGAGGGTGCACTTGATCCCACTGTCCATGTCACCAACAAAGATGTTAAATAGCACTGGCCCAGTACTGACCCCTGAGGAGTGCCACTCATTACTGGTCTCCACTTGGACATTGAGCCATTGACCATGACTTTGAGTACGACCATCCAGCCAGTTCCTTATCCACTGATGGTCTGTCCGTCTAATCCATGTCTCTCCAATTTAGAGACAAGGATGTTGTGTGGGACAGTGTCAAATGCTTTGCGCAAGTCCAGGTGGGTGATGTCAGTTGTTCTTCCCATATCCATCAAGACTAACCCCATTGTAGAAGGCCAAAAGATTTGTCAGGCATGATTTGGCCTTAGTGAAGCCATGTTGGCTGTCACCAGCCACCTCCTTATTTTCTATGTGCCTTAGCATAGTTGCCAGGAGGATCTGTTTGATGATCTTGCCGGGCACAGAGGTGAGACTGACTGGCCTGAGCTTTCTTTTTTCCCCTTTTTAAAAATGGGTGCTGTGTTTCCCTTTTTCCAGTGGTGGGAGCTTCACTGGATAGTGGCTTGGCAACTTCATCTGCCAGTTCCCTTGGGACCCACAGATGCATCTCATCAGGTCCCATGGACTTGGGCACCTTCGGGTTCCTTAGATGATCTTGAACCTGATCATCTCTTACAATGGGCAGTTCTTCATTCTCCCAGTCCCTGCGTTTGCCTTCTGCAACTTGAGCAGTGTGACTAGAGCTCTCGCTAGTGAAGACTGAGTCAGAAAAGTCGTTGAGTACCTCAGCCTTCTCCATATCTCAGGTAACCAGGTTTCTGGTTTCCTTTTGGAGAGGGCTCACGTTTTCCCTAGTGCTCCTTTCATAATTGGCATACCTATAGAAGCTTTTCTTGTTGCCCTTGATGTCCTTGGCCAGATTGGATTCTGTAAGGGCTTTAGCTTTCCTAACCTGATCCCTGGTTGCTCAGACAACTTCTCTGTATTCCTCCTGGGCTACCTGTCCTTGCTTCCACCCTCTATAGATTTCGTTTTTGTGTTGGAGTTTGGACAAACTTTAATTGCAGTAGTTCTAATGACTACCAAAGTAGAGAGAAATGCTCATCTAAATTACTCAGAATATAGTGTAATTTGGGTGCGCAGGGATTTGTGCCTGAGTAATAAGTGTCGGTTTTGCCTCGATAATGCTATAGATGCTTCTGCCACCACAGCTTTGTCAAATGTGGCATCTCCTGACAATTGTGACTGACAGCTGGCAGGTATCTTTAGTCAGGTTGGTCAGGTTTTTTGTAGGTTTATCAGAGTAAATAATTTTCCACCTTTTGTGAAAGAGGCATGTCTGAAGTATTTGGTTTTTTGACATCATTGCGAAGAAATGTTTTAGCTCTGTGAAGAAATGTCAAGTGTTGCAAGACTAGGCATGTTATATGGCAAGTCATTCGACACAGGAAATGTATTTTAAAACTAATGGTTCTTTTCTGTCTTTATATGGTAATTGGTTTTATAAACACTTCCAGAGAATACTAAATCCTGTGTTTTTGTAAGTGTTAGATGCATTAGTATCTTAAAAATAACTTTCATTGATGTAAAATATGGGTATCGCCTTATAATAAGACCAGGTTTGAGGCAGTACCTTTCTTGGAGATACGTGGTGTTGAGACGTGATTGCCATGCAGCAGCACTCATTGCAGCACAATTCCTTCTATGGCAAGAAACAGTCCTTTCTGTGATCCTAACAGGAATTTCAAGCCACCGAAGCCATAGGCAGTCAAATAACTATCTTATAAATAGAGCTCTAAAATGTTTGTTGTGAAAACAGGAAATACTTTGAAGATAAATTTAATGGAATTTAATTTATTTAAATGGAAAATAATTACAAAAACTGAACTACCATTTTTCATTCTTTAGAAGGGTAAGTGCTTTAGAAATGCCTCGTGGAGATCAGCATTTTAAAAAGTAAGTTTTTAAGTTTGAGCAATAGAAAATACTAAGTACCAAACTAGTTCTTAAAGCAGTGCTGAAGTTTGTGAAATCAGAAGACAGTGACTCAAGGACATTCATAAAAAATGAAGTTTATTTAAGTTTTATTTCAGAATTATCAGTGGATATTTTCAAGAGGAAATTTGATTTTAAACTTTAGATTCCTTGACTTCAAACACATCTCAATTTTTTCTTTATACATCTTCCATTCCTCGCTAATAGCGTTGCACTTTTCTACAATTTTGGAAAATCCTGGAAATCTGATCCAGGAATCATCAAAGCCACGGAAGAACAAAAGAAAAAGGTAAAGGCATGAGATACGTGAAACTTGATCTTGAGCAGCCTGCCATCAGTTGGTCAGAGTACTTTGCTGTTCAGAACGTGAAATGTCAATAAATTGCTGTATAACAAAAGGTCTAAAATGTTGACGTTTTTCTGTCATCCAGCTTTCTTTTTTTATGCTTGGAATATATGTTCAACTGCTTAACTGTCATTCTGAACAAATTCACAACTTAGATTTTAAAGATAAAAAAGTTTAAAAAGCAGTTGGGTGAAAATGAAAATGTGAAGTTTCAGAGTTTTGTCTTACTGAAACAAATGACCCATTATGGAATAAGTGTTAGTCGATTGGATTCTAAAAAAAGACTTCCAGACTTTAAAACACCTCTGATTTTCCTTAACTTCGTGTCTAAAAGTATTAGACTGAGGATAACCAGGCAGTCATCTGGGATGTTTGTTTTTTCTTTTGATTTAAATATTAGAGAAAATATGGATGATCTAATGACATCTTTCTAACGCTATTGTTAGCATTTCTAAATTTTTTTGTGTTGAACTACATTGTCCTCAGCAGCCAAACTCAGCATTGAATATTGCAAAATCCTACAAGCACCAGAAACGTTTTGTGTTTTTCATTTTGGACAAATTTCCTGGAAGCTCACATCCCACCAAAAGTGCATTATGTGCTTCTACTTGATGCTCATTTGTGAAAACACTTGCGTGGATTGACATCAGACACTTGGAATTATGGCCTTATGTAGTGATAAACATACAATAGCCTTTAAAAGATGGTTGTGATAGCTTAAGTGGCTTTTGTTTTCTCCAATAATTACTGAGTTGATAGTCAATGTGCAGATTTGCTTTTGCAAATTCCTTTTCTGTTATTGCAAATTTGCCAAAGCAAAGTCCAGACTAAATTCTCTTCCTTCAACTGGACTAAATTAAATAGAAGAGTCAGCAACTGCACTTTAGTTCAGATTCAACAAATTGCTCAAATGTACAATTAATTTGTTTACTTGCTTAAGTACTTAAGTATAGTTACAAAAGCCTTGCTGAACTGGATAGGAATTGTGAAGTGCAACTTCTTCAGTCAGATGCATACGACTGCAAATGTTTTGGATGTCTTAGATTGCAGCTAACCAAATTGTAAAACAATCTTTTATCAGGTGTATAAACCACTGTAGAGTGCGTGTCTTACCTTTTTGTGGTGTGTCTTTGTAGTTTGTCTCCAAATGTTTTATGTTGAGTTAGCCTTTAAGTTTGGAATAAGCAACCAAAAAATTCTTTTAATACCATATGAATGACAAAGTTAAGTATGTTTGGAAATGTGTAGTAAGCAACAATTTCAAATGTTTATTTTTCTGATATGTCATGTCCTTTCTTCTTTGTTACAAAATTACCCAAATAACTTTTAAAATAAGTAAATAAATAATAAATAAAACCCCCCAAGTTTTTAACAATCAAATATGAATAGTTCAAATGCACAGAAAATAGACCCGAGGTTTACAAAGCACAAAAATGTGTGTCTAACTTTGAATACTCCTGATTCTTTCCATGCTGTAAACTCTAAGGAGAGTTACATTTTCAAGTGGTTTGTCTGCTCTTGTTCACTTGTCTTCTCCTGAGCTTTGGGATCTTGCTTGTGGACAATATGGAACATGTGTCGAGCATTACACCATGTACATTTCTTTCTGCATCCTTTTGTTAGTCAGTAGCGTAGAGTATGTTCCCACTGAAATCAGAAGAACTATTTATGAAATTGTCCAAAATGTATTGTATGAAATTGTCCAAGGTATCAAAAGCTACAGGAGCAGCATTGAAACCACAGGAGATACATCTCATTGGGTTTCTTGCTTTCTGGTTTTTTTTTACAAAAGTTACTCTTAGGAGGGAGACCTTTTAATTTCAAGTCCAATAGTGGGGATTGTTAGAGTAGTGAGGGGTGGTAGAGGGGGATGAGAACAGAATGCAGAGTACTCAAGTTGGCAAGATGCAAGAGGAATGCAGAAGGGCTTATGAATGGCAGGGATTGGTTGGAGAGGAGGTCTGAAGGATTGCAGCGATGGAGACAAGTACTGGGCCAATAGCATATGGAAATACAAGAAGGAAGGAGAAAAAGTCACCCAACTTTTAGAGCTTAGTCAAGAAGTGTTAGAAAACTGTAAAGATCGTTCCTCCCCTGAGATCAGCAGGGAAGGCATTATGACACTGATTTACCCCTGGACTGTTGACTGTAGTTTTTACTGGTTACTTTGAGGAAAAATTTCCATAATTTTTTTCTGACCAGTTAGGTGTAGTATTTTGGAAGAAAACGTCTTACTGGTCATTATCTAATTGAGGAATTCATGTTTATATTACCATGATGAGAAAATTTGTAAGCACTTTTTATTGCTTCTGCAGTTAGAAACCACATTGATGCACAAGATGTACATGGTTTAAAGGGAGCACGAGATTAATCTATTTGCATTAGGCTATTTACAGTGAGCAAATTCCTTCTCATTCAAGGAAGGCTATTCTGGCAAAAGATTTTTTTCAAGGTATTTTCCATACATTGCAAATGCTATTTAAGTCTTGTGTGGCACAGATTTCAGCTCCTGAGTTTTAAAACTTGTTTTAAATTTAAATTAAATTTAAAACTTTTTCATGGAGTAATAGGTTCCTTCTATTCCAACAATGAAGTGGATACTGCAGGAGTGTAGAAAATAAAAAAAGCTGTCATTCAGTGTGAACTGGTACCTACGTCTGTGTATCACTTGACCCGTGAGACCCATTTATCTGTAAGAGGAGGTTTGGTTTGCGTTGTTTCTTTTTTTTCTTGAAGCTTCAACAAGAGATGAATATAGATTTAAAGGTTTTGATGGGGTACTTCTGGAAAGAAAGTCTGTTTAGACTGGCTGATCCTGCCAGCTAGTTTGGCTTGTGTTCCTGTTTGGAAATTCAGCTGCATTAATTTTGATAGGTTTAATAACAGGTTAGTCAAACTGATGCTGATCACTGTGAGGATGTATCAAGATTAATATAAGCTTGCTTTTTCTCTAATTAAACCTAGATAGACTTCAAATATGTATAAGCTAGAATTAATGTAGAAGTAAATGTGCATATTGGTTTAACAAAGTAGGTTTAGAATCAGTTTCAGCTGAACTTAGAGTTGTTCCTGTGTGTCAAAAGTACCTGAACAGAGTTCACAAGCCTGTTTCTGAGAAGCAGCTATTACAATGATTGTCAGCATTAGTTTATATGCTAAGTTTTAATTTCTTTTTCTTCTTTCTTTTTTTGTCCTGCAGACAATAGTAGAACTTGCAGAGACAGGAAGCTTGGACCTCAGTATATTCTGCAGTACCTGCTTGGTAATGTCTTTTTTAATCAATTGCAGCAATGAATTCTTTTTTTTATTTAAATACTTGGCCAAAATAGATATTCATATACTGAACACATTTTTGGCCTTAATAATGCAATTTCAAGGATAGGATTTATTTGCAATTTTTAATTTAAGTAGTGTTTTCAAACTATACACAAAAAAAACTGCAACAATAAGATGGTTAGTTGTATACCTAACAAGATATGAAAATCACAGGTGACATTCCACTCCCTCTGTAACTCACTGTAAAATTATGTGGTATTTCTAGTAATTTAAAAAAAAAAACAAACACCAGGTGTATTGCTCGATTTGACAGTAATTGGGAGGGGAAAAAAACAAGTTAGTTTTGTAAAGCTTGCCGAATTGTGACCAAATACTTTTCTTGGACTAGTTAATACTTTGTTTTGCCGCAGAAGATTTAAGAGGAAAAAACTGCTCAAAGAGAAAAAAGTAACTGTAGTAAATGTAATGCATTTCTTTTTTAGAAAGATAACTAATTAATATAAAATTATCAAGGTTATCAGTGTTACACTGTAATGCTTTGACCTGTGTAGAAAATTAATGGTTACTGCTCCCAAAATTGAATCTTGACAATGATGTACAGTTACACCACCTTAAAAATGATGTGTGTGTGTATACAAATATATCTCAAAACACTTAATATCTGTTCTTTTACTGCCATTTTATATTTCTTTCAAAACATAACCACTGGAAAAAAATTGTTGGGAGCAGTTCAGCTTTCTAAGTTCCACTGAGTTCCATTTGTTGACTCATATTTCTGTCTTTAGAAAATAAGCTGGAACACTTTACACTAGAGCTCAGTTATGAATGATACGGACGGAATCATGGAACTCAAACTCATTCTGTACTTTCATTGTTAAATAGCTGAAATAAAACTGGTTGCTATACAAAGCTCAATAGCTGGAGGGGATGGGAGAACTTTATATGAAACAAAAAAAATTCCTAGAATCTAAATACATAGATGTTTGTTGTTAAATAGTATACAGATTAAACTTAGTAGCTAAGATTGCTTTAAAAATAGCATCAAGTTTGAATTTCTCTAAGAGGTTAACAATAGGAAAATCAAATTGCATTTAAATTGAAAAGTTTTTCTCGTTTTTTTGCTAGTCTAAACAAATGTTAATAACCATTACAGATACGGAAGCCAGTGAGGTCCAAACACTGTGGTGTATGCAATCGATGTATAGCAAAGTTTGATCATCACTGCCCGTGGGTGGGTAACTGTGTAGGTGAGTAATTTGCTAAAATATGGTGTTGTCATAATGGATAAAAATCTTCTGAAATCAACTGCATGTTGTGCAGGGCTTTGTCTGTTCTTGTTTTGTGATGAAAGTGACCTGGCTTCTGCCAAAGTCTGAGAAGAACTGTTGAGGACTTTTAATAGAATGAAAAGCGTTTTCATACTGAGCTTAATTTTTTTCTACATTTGATTGTCTACATTATTCTTATTTGTGTTGTCTGTGATATACCCATCCTTAAAATTGTTTTGTGTCTAATTCTGTTTCCTACCTGTATGTTTAACATAAGCTGTAGTAATTCAAAGATGCAAGTGCTTTGCTATTTACAGAAAAGGTATGTACTGATTCCACCACTGACTGTTATCCATTATGTAAGATAAAAATGTTCATCTTTGCTGATAACTTTCTAATTTAATGGGACAGTATACATATTCAAAAATGTAATGATCGTAGCAGTTAGATACAGAATAACTTCCTATTGAGGTATTCTGCTCTTTTTGACCCTGCGGGTAGGCGTTTATTCTCCCCAGTGATGATGAAAGGAACAGATACAGAAGAGGAATAAAGTCTCTAAATGCTACTATTCCCCATTTTATTTTTTTGAGAAACTTACTTGAAAGTCATTATTATGCAGGGAGCACTGAAAACTTCACAGCTAGGAAATGAGCACAACTTGCACTATTTTTGCTTTGGTTTTGGTTTGGGGTTTTTTTTTAGGACATAAGCAGAGCTAAATTTAATCATAGGGAGGAATTAGGACCTGGATTCATTTGACATATGACTGCAAATAAATGTTTCTTTGTAGTCCCTCCAAACATATATAGTCACAGGTAGTCACTGTAGTTTGGTCTTATGATCAAGAGTAAAATAGTTAATGCTGGCGTTTGAATTGTAATAGAGCATCACTGAAGTCTCATTGAGATGGGCTAATATCACTGCTTTCTACTTTACATTTCCTACTGATTTTACTATCTGAGTTACTTTTGATTTGTGTTTTAGATGTTTTACGATGAAGAACTAAGAAATTTTTACTTAAAAAAGGCAAAGGTTTTGGAGAGTGTTTAATGACTGTTTTACAAGAGGGCTGAGTAGTACTTGTCAGTGGGACAGAAAAATCCAGTATTTTAATCAGTAACTCGAAAACCATGAAAAACAGCTGGAGGAGGAAAAAAACCTTAGTTCGTGTGTATTAAGAGAGTATATCAATAATGGGATTAAGTTAGGTGGAGGAAATGCTTTTTAAAAAACAACGGTGATGGGAGAGCAGAATCCTCCCACTGGTGGTATTGTACAGATGGGGATAACTGGAGGTAAAAGTAAACATTGCGACGCTTGAAAGTGTGCTGGGAAAAAAGCATGAGAAATCACACTATGGGAACAGCTCTGAACTGGAGGGAGTGATGGTCTAGATGACCTTATATGGCTTTTCTGTCTCGCTCAGATTATGTGATTACAAAACAGAATCCATTCTTAAAACAACCTTCGTGTTATGTTTGCCATAAAGGGAAACATGAATCACGCCTTTCTGGAAAGGTGGAATTTGGAAATGTTTTATATAGTCTTCTTTTGAATGTGCTAGAAGGATAAGAATTTTACTAAAGATGGGACTGAGAAATATTGCAAGAGTGTGTACAGACAGTCTAAAACCTTTTGGGATAAAACTTGCCACATGAAGAGGCTGAGAGAGAATATTTTTACCACTCTAAAGAGGTTGACGAAAAGTGCAGACTATTTGAAAAATAAATAAATAGACAATTGGGGCAAATTGTTTTCATCATACCTACAAAATTTTAACTAAAATTACAGTGAGCAAATCTCTAAAGATGATTACACTTCTCTTTTTAATGGAGTATCAAAGTGGCATTATGTTTCTTACAATTGGTTGTTTGAAAATGAAATTAACAGATTTTATTAAACTTGCAAGTATGTCTCAAACACAAGCTGCAGACTAGCAACAGAAATTTAGTTTTCAAGTAATAGTATGAAAGGAGCTAGAGCCAGATTTTAAACCCTTATGCCATGTGGGTTATGCTGATGTTGTACTGAATTATTGTTGAAAGCAGAAGGTAGGTCTTGTGTGTATGAGAAATTATTTTATGGTTTAGAATAATGATCACTTTTCCCCCACCAATAAAAGATTCTACTCCAACAGACTAAAAGTACAAAAGTCAGCAAACCATCTAAATCATGCAATATAGCTCCATCAGTAAAAAATCAGTTATCTTTATTACATGTTACTACATATGCGTAATATAAGTACAACCATCGAAAAGAAATTAGCAGCAATTCTTATGGGATTGTTTTAACTGTGAGGGATAACTGACTGTGTTCCTGCCAGTCCAGGGTGAAAGTGTAGAGAACAGTGCTGTGGTTTGCCCAGTCTTGTTTCAGATACAGAAGAAAGGCAATATCTCCACTTTCTTTTTCCAGAGTCGTCTTTTTAACTGTGACCAAGATTGTACCTGTCTCATTTATAGTTTTAAATGCTCCACGTATGATTTTACCAAATATAGATGGAGTTCCTGTTAAGCAGAATTTGGTTTAGTATCATTGAAGATGCTGCTGAAAGAAGCATCTCATCAGGTGCCTCTCAGAGGAACCTCTAGGTCACTGTTTAACTTCCGTTTTTTAAAAAAATGTCTTTTATGAAACTTAACAGTTGTGAAGCTTAGTATGCAAATGAAAATGGTACCTTAGGGACATTCCCATCACTGTTTCTCACATGCTCGTAGGTAATAGAAGGCAATGCTACAACATGTTTTATGTCTGAAGGAACTGGTTTGATTTTGCAAGGAAATGTCTTGTGTTTAGTCTAGCTTGTGTTGTATGTGTGGTTTTTTTCCTCATCTCTTATTTATATAGTCTTTCAGTTCACTTGCTAAAAGCACTTGATTATTTTCTGCCTCCAGAGGATGCTCTTGTTTTAGCAGGCAAAACATTTGACATAATGAAGAAGTAAACGCTGTGCTGGTAGATGATGACAGCCAAATCTTTTGTAGCCCATTATCATCTCTGTGGGTTTACTTTACAGCCTAGAGCTGTTGGAAGGTTGCAACAGTGGACATATTTCACAAACAGAAGGCAGGCCGAGTACTTCAGAATTATGATGTACTCACATAAAAGGCATCTTTTTGACTCTATTAATGTTAAAAATAGATCAGTCTTTTAATAACTGAATTTTCTTGCATTTAATTTCTGTCTTAAGCACAATGGCTTTTCTCTGTTTCGTTATTTTAGCCAAGCTGTTAGGCCTTCTCTGTTCAGTTAATTGTATTTGGTTTACGGGTTCTATTAGATACTTTATTTTTAGCAAGCTTCATCAAACAGGTTTAAACATAAGTTGTGAGTTAGTTTATTATAAAGGAAAGTTGTATATTTGTTCATATTTGTTTCTTTTAAGAAAGTGAATGCTGCAGTCTGATTATTTTTTTTTTTAATGGAATTTTAAAAATATTGATGTGTAATTCCTGGCTGTTCAGGGCTCTGCAACAACTGCCACCAACATTGTTCTAAATGTTGCCTGTCAATAATTTTATTAGCTCATGAAAGAGGTTGCAAATGAAATGCATTTGCGTGAATTGTAGCTGTAATATGACAGAAATTGAAGAAAATAAATGTTGCTTTGCTGTCTCAGAAGTGTAAAAAAAAAAAAAGAAAACAAAAAAAAGCACATCATAAGTAAACCAGCTAATTTCACTGTCTTCAAGATATATTGGCTTAATATTGGAGAGTAATGTCTCTGTAGGCTATAATAAGCAGTACATCTAAGCAAGCACTTAAACTTCCTGATGTAGTGTTGTCTGTCTTCTGAAAGTGTAGTAATTTGATCTCTGTTGTTCTTGTGCAACTTTAGGAGCAGGGAACCATCGCTATTTTATGGGATATCTTTTCTTCCTGCTTTTTATGATCTGCTGGATGATTTATGGATGTATCTCTTGTGAGTAAATGTGATCTTTTGTCTTTTTTTAATTGATTATAAACACTTTGTTTATCTGCTGGTATGGAGTTTTACAGATTTCTGCCGTATCAGAGTTTTGGATATTTTTATTCTGGAATTGAACTGCATATTAATAATTGACTATATTGGATATTTGAAGTTACAAGATATTTTTCTTGTATTAGATTTTTTTTCTTTCTGACAGCCAAGTATGTGCGCTATGTCATGTATTCAAGGAGTTGGGAAAGGAAGAGAGAGCAAGTAAACCTATTTTGTCATATTGTCATTTTCTTATTTAATACATTCTACTGTGGGCATTATGTTGACGTACAGTAAATGTATCGTAAATCTTCCGTATGGTTTTTGACACTTTGTTTTTTCTCTAGACTGGGGTTTCCACTGTGAGACAAGTTACGCAAAGGATGGATTTTGGACCTATATTACACAGATTGCCACCTGTTCTCCGTGGATGTTTTGGATGTTTCTAAACAGTGTTTTTCACTTCATGTGGGTGGCTGTGTTACTCATGTGTCAGATGTACCAGGTATGGAAGAACACTTCATTTGTAATGCGGAGTCTTGGGGTAACATAAGAATATCAAATAGTTCTGTCATTTAAATTTTAATGTTCATTATGCAAAGACCAAGTGTTCAGTCTCTTAGCCATGCTGGAGGAGGCAGGCATCTGTTGTCTCTGAATATTAGGTATCATTCACTTCTCATTCACTTGTGCTTTTATGTTTTTTTGCAAGAGATGAAGATACCTACCCTCCTGCTTTCCATTCTTAGGATGACAAAAAGGCAAAACAGACCAGAGAAAGGCAGTAAAGACTAATAGAGGATAAGATCTGTGGGTCAAACTTGGGATAACCCAGTATATCATTAGCAGAAGGAGGGTGGTAACTTCAAAGGGTATGCAAACACTGCTTCAGTGTGGTTTGTGATCACATTACTGTACTGTAATCTGACCAAACCCAAGTTTTTCTTCACCCTTTTTAAGGAAAGACAAGTCATACTGAATGGCTTTCAGTATGACTTGAAGTCTTTCAGTATGACTTGTCATTAACAAACCGTGAGACTTACTGATTTAATCTTTTCAGAGATCCCGGAAATAAAAATCATCCTCTAAGGCATAGGTAAAACGTTTAAGGAAATCTGTTTTGTTCTCCTTTCTCTATAATATTTGTCATTTACAACATATATCAATTTCAAAATCTTGTATGTGTGAGCAAAAGCCGTTCAGACTTTTAGAGGTCTTTTCGTGCCCAAGACAAATGCTCAGAGGTAACTAGATGTATTTCGGGTGGCTTTCAGAGCAATCTAACCCACCGGACTTCTGTAGCAGAATAAGCATGTAACTTTCTGGAGAGCCTTCCGTCATACTTATATCATGATCCGTTAAGTTCCTCATTGAGGATTCCTGTTAATACAGTATGTGTGCAGATAAGTCTTTGATTTATGTCACCTGGAAATATATATATCACAGTATTTTGTACCATTAGTGTAGTTAAGCAAAATAATTCTAGCATTTGACTTTTTTAATAATCCGGGAAAAATTAATAACAAATGCACAGTCATATTACTAAATTTCTGAAGACATTTACACATAGAAAACTTAGGATTGTTCTTGACAAATCTCTTTGGAGTTTGCCATAATGATGGAATTGATATTCACTAAATTGCTTCTTTTGATTTGCAACTGCACAGCCCCTACTCTTGCTGGTTTTTTTTTCTTCTTTCTATCATAATGTTTGGGCTTGTCCTTCTTATTGGACTGGCCATGGTTATTGTCAAAACACTACTTAGTATCTTAGAAAAATAATTTAAAACCTTTACTTCCTACTTCAAAAATTAGCCGTTTAGAGCCCATTTATGTTCCTAGACCCTTCACTGGGTTTCACAGAGGTGAAGAAAATAGTTGAGATACTAAGTACATCCAAATGAGGAAAGCCAGCCCAAACTTAACTTTCTCAATGTTCTTGCTTTTGTAACGTGCCACGGAGTTGACTTCATATTTCACTGGAAATTACAAGATTTTATCTTCCTGTAGTGTAAGGCTGCTAAGAGAGTTCTCACATATTTGTTTCCAATTACATCACATTACGGTGAACTCTAATTTTAGGTAAGATACCCTTTTAGACTAACATAATTGGAATACTGTTATACAAAATTATAGCCTTTGGGCCAAACGATTCTGTAAAAAGGAAAAAAGACAAGCAACAACAAAAAACCTCCACTTTTTTCTGGTCATCTTTTTGTCCTGTGAACAGAAAAATTATCTTACTCCAACAAATATATAAATGGGGAAAAATATATTACTGGAGCTATAACCAGAATTTCAAGAAGAAAGAAAGTGGTTCAGATGCTGTGTAAAGAAACTCCTGAATCTGTTATTTACAGTACACTTCAGCTGACAATATAGTAAAGGCGTCTCTTTATTATGAACTAAGTCGTCAAAGTTTATTCAGTGATCATGATTTATTTCTGATCGCTTTCGAAGTCAAACATTTTGCACAATCTGGTACAGCTGTTGAATGGTGTTTTATGTAGAGACCTCATCATTTCTCCAGACAAAAATTCTTTCTTCAAAAGAAGGAATATAAAATGGTAAATTTGGTGCTCCTTTTTGAGTCTGGCTCATGCAGGGCTTGTTTGCATGTTTTGACATGAGCTAAATTGCTCACTTTTTCCTGCTTTCAGATATCTTGCTTGGGTATCACTACAAATGAAAGAATGAATGCAAGAAGATACAAGCACTTTAAAGTTACAACCACATCTATTGAAAGCCCATTCAAGTAAGTTTTAAAGTGTATTTCTTATTTGTGTAGCCTTGCATACGTTTGAATTGTGCAGCTTGTTGAAATAGAACATAGCTAAATACTTTTATTTTCACTGCTTGGAATGCTGAATCTGTCAGCTGTTTTTACAGAAACACATTCTTTCCGGTTAAAGGAAGTGATAAACGTTTTGTAGTGACTCTAGACAGGGATGCATAAACACAGAAAATAGTGCTTTCCAGCAGTGGTCATATTTACTGTAGAGTTTGTGGGGAGATGGATATCCTCTTTGTAAATCAGGTGCCCAAAAGAGAGGTAGTTGCTTATTGCATGGTGTCGATGTTGCCCGGGATCTTCGCTTCCACACCAGGCAGTCACTTCTCCTGATGGATATTTAATGTGCTGTTGAATGCGCTCTGTGCGGTAGCTCCCCTTGCTCTCTTTCCTGTGAGAAAAGAGGCAGCACTTCCTGCTCAGGAGGAAGAGCATGGGCAAAGCTCTGTGAGGAAGGAAGCAGGATGTCCCAGGAACTGAAATGAGTGTTGCATGGGTAAGACATGGGCTTTTGGGTATCAGTAAGGAAGAGGTAGGTTGGGATTCCGGTTTCTGTAGTGATGAGGAGAGCGCAAGCTGAGAGGGGCTCTGGAATGATAGAGCACTGGGATGGGAACACGGCAGCATGGAGCAGCTTGTGGAGCCAAAGCAGGAAATAAATGAAGGCATGAGGCTGGAATATTGGTTGGTTGAGGGCATGTTACAAAAGGAGCAGAGAAAAGACAGAAGCATGTCTCATCCTGCTGCATGTGCTATGTCTCCTGTGGGAGTTGCTGCTCTTTCAGGTGACACCCAGGGGAACCGGAGATAGGAGTTATTGTTGCAGTTGAGCTTTTTTTAATATCTCTCCATACAAAACTTTTAGTGAGAAGCAGACAAGCATCTCTATGATTCCAGTCATCCTACAGATTCGAGTTGTAACAAAACCGGATAATTATTTTGCCTGAAGAACACAGGGTGGTGTACAGGATAGGAAGAAAACTGCTGGTTTTATCCTCAAATTAGTATTACATTCACAAACCCATTTTCACTGAAATAACTGCTATTATAAAAATTACTCCTGAAAATAACACCAGATGTCTGAAATAACTGACTTGGCATCGCCTGTCAGATGAAGCATTGACATCAAGTAGTTGTTATCTCCTTGTTGCTTAGTCCTCTTCTTGCATATATCGTAACAGGAGCTTCCCTTCCAGAAAACTGTGATCTATTCAGCCCATGTGTAATTAAGTAAAAAAAATCCCAACATGTTGGAATTTCAATGTAGATATCTTAAATACTTGACAATTAATTGATTCAACAGCAGAAATAAGCTGAATGGTTCATTTAATTCAGATAATGCTTTCTTAATTTTGTGTTGTCTAGGGACTTAATTGATCTTAGACCTGCAGCTGATGAACCAGTATATATGACAGAAATAGATACTAATAAAAATGGAAATTATTCTAGGAAGGCATTCACTTCATACTGTTTTGTCTTGCATCCATCTGTGCAATGCAACTTTCCTCTTAGAAAGCGACCTGAATTACTACATTACACTACCTGATGATGCACTGCCAATGACACATTACATTTCTCCATACAGTTTTGGTAGATAGGGGCAGAAAGTTAGCGTCTTGGTTGTGTCCAAGGATCAAACATTCATCAGTCTGGGGACTACTTCTTATTTCAGAACTTGTTCATCAGCAAGGACTAGGATAATTCTTATCCGAAATTGTCTGCAGTTAAGAGCTTAAAAGGGTGAAGAATGGAATTTGTAGGCAGACAAAAAATGTTGTACTTTGTACAAGCTATGATATTGCTTACTAACACGTGGTTTTGTTTTGTTTGTAGCCATGGATGTATAAGGAACATTATAGACTTCTTTGAATTCAGATGCTGTGGTCTTTTTCGGCCTGTTATCGTGGACTGGACAAGGCAGTATACAATAGAGTATGACCAAACGTCGGGATCAGGCTACCAGCTGGTGTAGCACCACCTTCGTCCTGTGAGCATATCATATCTGAGTGGTGCCTGAAAAATTTTCTCTCTCTCTCGAATCCGCATCCCTTGAAGAGTAGCATGTTATGTGTAGGGCTGATGATGAATCTTAAGGTACCTTCTCTTCATCAGAATTTTATTAACAAAAGTAAAAATGGACAGAATAAACTGCCAAACCTGATAAGGAAGAGGAGGAAGATCAAAAAGGGATTTTAACAGTTCTTAACATGAGAATTATTCACGACAGCATATTCACAGTATTTGTTGTTGGGTTTTTTATTTAAGGTCTTTCACAATGGAGCATGAGATTATTGAAGTATTGACATAAGTAGTTATGTTGTGCTGAGCAGAAAAATTTCTTTCCCAATATGAATAATTCCACTGAAACAAGAATCTAGAATATAAAACTAAATTTCATGATGCAGAGTTCACTGATCACTATGTTGTAGTTCCTGTAATGTGATTTTTTTAATACAGATTTTCTGTAGTATTATGTACATTGAACAATGTGCTTTTCGATACTGTTATAAACATCATGTGGTGGAAAATCCCCTGTAACGTATTAAGTCATACCAGTAGGGCACGTCAGATAATGTTGAGAAAAAAATACGTTGCCCATGTTTTTTGGTGATTGTTTTTGCCACCAGTTAGTGGTACAACTAAATACTTGTAATAACCCTGTTCTGAGATTATATAGTCTGAAATAAACAACTGCGCAAAGAAGGAATTCTCTTCTGTCAAAGTTAAAGCCCTGCTTAAATGCATGATACACCTGTAAAACTAGATTACAGTATATAATGTTCAGGAAAAATGTGGAAAAATTAATTATCTTTGAAGTAATTGTGTGAGCAACTTACAAACTAGTGATGTTTCAATATTGGGTTTGGTCCTCATGCAGTACAGTGTAGTGTAAATGGAGACAGGCTGGAAGAGAAATTGCATGGGGAAGCCACAGACGTGAAAGCAAAAATCTCAATCCTAAAAAGACAAGATAGTTTTGAATTGAATACAACTGCAGAAGAAGAATCCAGAATTGTCAGAAACGTTTTTGTTTGTTTGTTTGGATGTAAAATAATGGAAACCAAACTTTAAAAAAAAAAAATCCCCATAATAGCACGCGCACACAGAAAACATAATGCAGCATTCAGAAGATGATGGTGTATTGGCACGTGGAAATCACCCTTGATTTCTTTTTTTAAGTTCTCATGCTACAGATATGTTTGGAAGGTAAGGAATGATCCGAAATTGCATTCCAAAGGGGCTTTTCTTGAATGTGATGCACTGATTTTTGTTATGTTTTTTTTTCATATACTCACGGTGAATTGTTCACTGCTTCCTTAACTATTGTTTACAGAGAGACTGAGAATCAGGTTAGGTCTCTTCTAAGTGCTGTAGCAACCCAGTGGTTCAAGAAACCTGTGAGGGGAGTTTGGGGAGGCGACCTGAAAGCCGAAGTCTGAGACCAGTGTAAAGAATGTGTATCTGTATATAAATAATTTATCAAATAGTTTTCTCCCTGTGAGTGTGTGTTTAGTGTATTTAAAGCTGCTCATTTTCATTTTATTCAACCAAAAAAAAGTGTAGGAAGATACCTAATGAGCTTTTAGTGATGTTCAATATTGCTGTTAATAGGCGTTACGCCCTGCAAATTCACTGCATGTTTGATGCTTGGCAAAATTAGCGTTTTCTGTAATATGCAGATTACAGGTAATAAAGCAATCTAGTGGTATTCCCGGCCCTTGCCTTAGTAAGAGGAGCAGTGAAACTGTAAATAGTTGATGTTCAGTATTTGCAAGTAAACATTTTTTCTGTAGTTGCTCATTGATCTCAAGACACACATTTAGTTTGCAAGTACCAGATATCAGGATTTACAGAAGTGCAGCGTTAGAGTACTTGAATGTTTAATACTGGAAAAATCAACATCGTCTTGGACACAGTTTTAATGGGAGAGGTTTGGGTGTAGGGGTGGCAAGAAGCTTTTGCTATTTTTGTCAGACAAAATTTTTAATCCCAATGAAGACACGTTCTGTTTCAGTGAAAACAGTTGCCATCAGTTCTTCGTATTTTTTTCTAACATGAAGACTTCACAGTGTTGTTTATTTTAATCACCAGTAACATTCTGCGTATTTATTCGGGTTTTTTTTCCCGACATTTCTGTTGGGGGTCGGTTGACTTGAAGAACTTCGATCCACTTTATTAAATATCACCTAGCACCAGAAGAGCAGTTCAGTACGTGATACAAGTTTTGGTTTTAGTTGCCCAGTAGCATTAACTGCCATGAATTGTGTCATGTCACGCGCATGTCAAAAATGTTTGCAGAAGAAGAGATGATCTTTGGTAGTACGTAGTGAGTTCTACACTATTTACTTGCTCATAGCTCTCTGGTGAGTTTTGTTGAGACCTGCAGAATTTGAGCAATAGCAGGTAGTTGTGAAAAATAACTCGCGTATATGGATTTGGGTTGTATGAAGTTTCCAGTGCAAAATGTGACTTGTCTTGAGTAACACTGACTCTTTTGATGTGAAATCATAAAATTGAGCAGGGGGGAGCCAACTATGCAGCATTTTTCTGTCAAGTTATCAAACTTACAATTCATTTGTTGAACCAAAACTGCATTGCTTCTGAAACTTAACAAAGCTGATCCAGACCAACAGTAGATATGACCAACTTAATCTGACATAGGTAGAATAAATGGGAATTTTGTCTTGGCCCTAAACATGTGCTGTTTCTTTGCAGGTTTCTGTATTCTTTGTTCACCAGATTATTTTTTTTTTTTAATTAATGTGTAAAACAGCATCACTACATTTTAAGCTATGGATTTTTTTGTATATTCTTTATTTATAACTGTGCCAAGTATTATTTTAATACTGTCGAGATCTTGATGTATTACATTGTGAACAAAAAAAAAAATCTGTAAAATGTTTAATAAATTAGCTCTCCTTACATAAATTAAATCTGTTAAATTTTGTAAGTTATTAATCAAATAAATATTGACTCTTAGATGCAGTGTTTGTCTTGACTTGGGATGTGATTTTGCAGTGTTGTTTCTGTCCAGTTTCAGAAGCTGTACCATGAGAAAATAGCTGCTATCTTGCATCTTATTTTAGTAAAGTCTGTTTCCAGAAAGATTTGCAGGCGTCTTAAAGTGAGCATACACCCAATTCCGTGCTGATACAAAATCCTGTAAACTACTACTTTACTGGGTTTTGGTAAAGTATATCTTTGTACTACCAATTATAGTTACCGTTCACTAATTATACTCCTTTCTTTTGAGTTAAAGATGCTGGCAAGAGAACGTTTCTTAAGGGAAAATTGCTTTTAGAGGACATTTTGGGTGGCCAAACGTACATATTTAATGATAATGACATTTGAGGTGTATTCTAAGGGTAAACAACACATCCACGTAGGACTAGTCGGTATGACCAAGATGTGTGCTTCTAGGTGGCACTAGCAGGAGACAGAATACCTTGATTCTTCTGCTCCGTGCTAAAGGTTAGATTTTGAATAGAAACACGGTAACCATCCAAGTTGGAATTTAATCAGGATATTTATAACCAGCAATATGTATTAAAGTATAAGGCTAGGACTTGACAGCACACCTAACGGGGAGAGAAAAGGCTCATGTTTCCTGCTGGGTGCGGGTTCGGTACTAACATTGATCGAGAATTGCCGGTGTCGTTCTCCCCTTCCTGAGCAATGGTTCTGGTGAGGCTGGGCCCGAGCTCGCCTCTGCCGACCACCCTTAGACTTGTCTGGGGAGAGACTTTCTTTTTTTAAAAAAGACATTCCGTACTGAAGATCTCCATCAGGGATTTGCAGTGCTCCATCAGAGCTGCGCTTGGGAGGTATGGGTGGGCTCCTGATGGCTCGAAAGCTGGTTACTTGGTTCGTTTTATGTGGGAGGAAGCCTGCCCTCTGCACCCTCATTATGGCTTGATTAGAGCTCACTCCCTCGCACCTCCCGTGAGCTGCCTTTAAGTGAAATCAGATTTTTTTGCTCTGAAGGCAGAACGCTTGCATTTGGGTTTTAACCCACCTTAGGCTACTGAACGGAGATCAGGAAAAACTGCACCCATTCCAGGTTCAAGGGCCGAGTGTTTATTCATCAATGTTTTGTTGCTGCTGAACAGTTGACAGTAGCTAAGTGAAAGCGCTGCAGGGTAGGGTACCCATTTCTCTTGACAGGTATATTGACTGCACAGTTACAAGTTTTCTTCATTTCTTTGTCTTCCTGTGGTTAAATTATGTAACTTGTTGGCATGTAGAGCAGCGTGGAGCTGTGAGCTACCGCTGTCACTCCCTCTAGGAAATGAAAGGAAAGCCCGTGATTTTTAGTGGCTTAAATCACTTCTGATCGTTTCTTCTGTTCATTTTTCTAAGAATGGAAGGCTCGTTTTTATGGGTACATGAACAATATGTTAGATGCCCATTTTTGTCAGCATGAATTGCACCTGCCAACTCTGCCAATGTGGCAGGTTTAGATCCACTGCAGTAGCTACATCAACTAATGGGGAGCGGTTTCATCTGCTCAGTAGTGTGTCAAGAACATTATTTTGGTTTCTGTCTTATTGAACAGTGCCACTCAGCATTTTATAATGCCATTCCTGAGAAGAGGAAGCAATTCCATCAGGCAACAAAGCTATGGAAAGGGAATATTGTCATTGCTTTCATGTCCTTGGCTGCTGGGGCCTGGATACCACTTCTAAGTTAGAGCTGTCCTTGTTCAGGTTGGAAGAGTCAAGGATCAACCCTTCCTGCATAACTGTCAGGTTGGCAAAGGAGGGAAAAGTATTAAGATCATCTGTGAGTAGGAGGACCAAAGGTTTCTGCCCAGATTTCCTGGGCTGTGCTGTTGCTTGCGGTCTCACTCCCACCCCAAATGCGTGCTGCTTCTGCCTTACTGCTGTCTTTTTCAGTTGTAATATTTCTGTGAACTATACAAGCTCTTGGCTCGCATTTTGAGCCGGCTGTCTGCTCTTTTTCATACCCCCATTGTTCCTTTGTAACCCGTACAAAATGCTCTTTATGTGTTATTTTGACTAGTACGTATTTTTCTAATTAGGCTTTTGGCTTGCCCTGCTTCACTACCTCAGACTGCAGTCGTAGATGTTGCTTGGAACTCAAACTTAGGCCGTGCTGACACATTTGCTCACTATTTTATTTTAGTGTTCCCAGTCTTGAATATGTCTTCATAAATTCACTCTGTGAAGATTTTTTTTTTTACTCCCCAGAGGTATCAGCCTACTTCCCAAAACAGAGTTTCAGATTTCATCTTTTCTTTAACTAACTTCTGCCGGGCACAGTAAGAGTCAAAACTGAACCTCTGCCCCTCCACCCCAGAACACCACGTAGGATGTAGCCACCAGGATGGAGCTGGTGTCTTCCCATAGACATGGCTGGCCTCTAGTGCAGCCCGTGCTGTGCCATAGCATGCCCTTCACCGGAACAGATGGAAATAAAACTCCTACAACCGCCTGTTACCTGCTGAAGCTCAGGGTGTGCTCCCTCCCCTGAGGTACGATTTTTGCTTTTAAAGAGGCGTCGATGCCCAGTTCTCATGTGCCTCCTCCTTTTTGTAGGCAAGAGTGAGCCATAAACGTTGCAAGAGGAGCCTGAGCACACCGGTGAAGGTGTCTGTTTCAGGTGCTCAAGAAACTTAGTCCCAGGTTTAAAAAAAAAAAAAAAACTAAGCTATTCTTACTAAATGCTGATTACTTGCACAAAAATAGGGCAGCTTGCTTCGAACTGGCTGATTTTTTGCATCACAGGTTTAGGCTTAAGTACCTCATTCTCACATAATGGCTTTGTGGTGGGCTAGTCCTGGGTGTCCCGTTGAGGAGGTGACTCCTGTTTGCTTCACAAGGGCAGCTGCAGGTGCTATCAGCTCAGGCCTCGCAGGCTTGTGTTGGGAGCTGCTCCAGCCTCTAAAAGAAGCCAAGCTCTTCCGTGATCTTCCATTCAGGGTCTGGCTAAAGCAAAACTAATTGTCTCGTAATCACAGGCCTTTATTAGCAACAGTTCCTAAAGAGTTTTATTAGCAGAGTCAAGGACCCTATTATGGCTTTCACCCAACCGGTGTGTTCACATGGAGTAGATCTGTACAGCATTTGATGTGTTTAATTGCTGTTACTCCTTGCCCATCAACTTGAGTTCAAGTCACATTATCTACCAGGGTGGGTGTTTAAAGGCAGAACTTTGCTTTGCCTTTGCCAGGTGCCCTCCTCAAGAGGCTGAAACCCTCCACCATCTTCAGGGAAGTGAGGGTTGTAACACTACTGGGAAAAGGTCAAAAGCTGCTCTTAAACCGGAGTTTGACATGATAGTCCAGAGCTTGGTCAACTGCTGAGTCGCAATGGTATTAATCAGCAGCTGCCTTGGTAGAGTACTCCTGCACATAACAACACCTCAATACCAAAGGCGGTACAATCCCACAAAATATTATGGTGGAAAAGGTGGGGTTTTTTTCTATTTACTAGAGACTCTATGGCAGAGACAGCCAGCTGTTTAGGTGCAGGGCTTCTTAAAATCTATCACTTTCAGAGCTGTGTCACTGCACAGAGTGGTAGATTAACATTTACTACTTCTGTGCAGTCAGCAGGTGGTTGCTTTGCACATGCATACGATGGTGTGATACTGGAGGACAGTCATTTCCCCTCTGAAGACCATGAGCAGCATCACGTACACCCAACTTTCAGCAACGGTCTGCACTAAGTCTATTGTTGTATCTCCACCCCTGCACACCCAAAGTACCCGGACCCCACTCCCCTTACTTAACTTTTATTGCTGACAAAGCGTGTAACACTTGGCTTTAGGATACATCAACAAGCAAAGCTTTATTGAATTGATACTCAGTATTAAATTTCTTACAGTGTGATACACAAAGCAAGGAAAAAAGCAGTGCTTTTTTTCAAAAAAATAAAAATAAAAAGTCATCTGCTGAATGTATGGCCCAAGTACTACAGTAACTAGTATCCGTTTCACAGTAGTTAGTAACATTTAGGAAACTTTCTTGTAGCAGGATCTCAGCAGAGCCATACCGGGCTGTGAGCCGTGCCCCCTCACTGGGCATGAACCAGGGCACCCGCTCCCTGGCCGTACCCAAATCCCTTGGGGCCAAAGTTCTTCGCGTAACAGCCTGTGAGAAAGAGGAACGTGTAGTAGCTGAGGCTTCTGGCTCGTTACTTAAGAACAGCACTGTCAAGGCTGAGCCCCTTGGCTGCTTCCCATTAGTCACCAGAACATCCCCATCGGAAGCATCGCTTAAAAACATTTTGTCAAGCTGCACAACTGCCATGACTGAACTCAACGGCCGTGGCTGTTGGGTCAGTGTAGCTCCCCACCTACTCTGTGAAAGTAATTGGTACATCAGTCCTGTGGCTAGGTATCTCTTAGGACGTATGTTGTCACCAAACCACTGTGTGGACCAAGTTTATATCCATGACACCATGCAAGAAGGCATGGCAGGATGCTAGCTAGCTTGTTTCCTTACTCTGACCTGCTCTCTGACTCAGGCAGAGGGTACTGGCTGCTGCTGCATTACTCAGTATGCCATGTTTTGCTTGATGCAGAAGTAAACTACATCAGCAGCTTCAGTAACGTTTATTTCATTTCTCAGCTCTATTCCTATGACGTATAGAGCACTTCCATCTTTATGTTTCTTATATCAGGAATAAATTCAGCATCTGTCCTTGTAACACTTTACCTTGAACCATAAACAAGTGATCTTTGTTTCTTTCCTCACCTTTACAATAGATTTCTCCCTCTTTTTCAGTTAGGGTTGTTGATTCTAGGCTTTTTCCACACTTGGCACATCGGAAACAGTTTTTGTGCCACGGCTAGAGAAACGAAACGAAACAACAAGATAGTTTAAATAAAAAGAATTCCCAAGTTTGTAAAAAAAAAAAAGGTGTTAACATGCAGATGCCGGCTCCAGTATTGTTATAGATGACTGGTGCAATAAAAACCAGTTCAAGCGCACCAGCAGCAGATGAGAGCATCTGCA